GCCCAGACAGCATGGGTAGCAGGCATGGGGTCCACACTCCCCCCAACCCTCCACTGCCCTCCTGTCCCACCCCGATGTTAACTCAGGCCTATCAGACATTGGACTACCAGCAATCCCCTCACATCCGTGGCAGGGTTTCATTGCCCTTGCCTCTGCCTTAAAACTTCCATGCCCAAGGGCTGCCCAGTACGGCACCCTTCCTGAGGGAGGCTGGCAGGTTGGCAGCCCACGTGCAGACACAGATTCCAGGGGTCTCTGTCAGCTGTTCTCACTCACCCCAGGGAGGGCAGCACCCTGCTACACCCACAGCACCCTCCCACCCGGGTGACCTGTCCAGCTCTGCCCAGAGACAGGGTCAATGACCAAGGCAGGAGAGCCTAGGCTTCACGTCCCAAGACCCCCCAACTCTGGAGCGTATCACACTAGTCCCCAGGAGGACTGGACACCCTTTTTTTTTTTTTTTTTTTTTTTCCTGAGACGGAGTCTTGCTCTGTCGCCCAGGCTGGAGTGCAGTGGCGCAATCTCGGCTCACTGCAAGCTCCGCCTCCTGGGTTCACTCCATTCTCCTGCCTCAGACTCCCAAGTATCTGGGACTACAGGCGCCCACCACCACGCCTGGCTAATTTTTTGTATTTTACTAGAGACAGGGTTTCACTGTTAGCCAGGATGGTCTTGATCTCCTGACCTCATGATCCGCCTGCCTCGGCCTCCCAAAGTGCTGGGATTACAGACATTAGCCACCACGCCCAGCCTGGACACCCTCTTTCCGTGCTGACCTCTTGGTCCTCTTGACCTCAAGCCCACGTGTTCAGGGAAGGTTGGGGCAATCACCCCCAGACGTGAACACCCAGACACACTCCCTAGGGCCTGGCAAGTATAAGCCAAGAGGAGGGGCGTATCCTGCCCCAGCACCCCCTCTGCATGGGGGGGAGTCGGTGGGGAGAGTGAAACTTGACCGCCCTGTTGTGGAAAAAGCCGCTCACGGCTCAGCCTCCCAGGTACAGGGGGCATGCACGCCTCTGAGTGTGTCTTGTGGTTCTGTGTGTATGTGAATGAGACTCCCAGTGTGGCCCTTCATGCACGGGACAGCGTGTGGGTGGCACGTGGATGTGCAGCCTGGGGCGGGATGGACCTGTGCCTGCTGCCTGAGTGTGTGTGGAGGGGGTGAAATGGGGCTATTTTACAGCTACCCTTCCCTGGAGCAGGGCATGTCACCTCTGTATTAATCAGCATGAGTGCCACCCCTCAGATGGGCCCCCAGTAGGGGCTGCACCTGGGGCCCCTTCCCCACCACATTGGCAGCAGAGCACACAGAACTCAAAGACAAAAGGACAGAGACATGCAGAGGGGACAGAAACAGACAAGGAGAAACAGATGCTGAAGAGGGCAGGAGACAGGCTCGGAGGTAGAGAGCGAAGCACCAGGCAGGCACAGGCACAGACACAGCCCACAGGACACTGAGGTCACTGCCCATGTCTGCCAAGCACTGTCTGCCAGTACACAGCAGGGAAGCAGAGAAGGTGAGACCCAAAGGGACACAAGCCACATCTGTCTTTCGGTGGGGAGTGGGGGTCTCTGAGGCACCAATGTGGACTCTTCATGGGCTCATACCATGAGATAAATGCTCACACTGGTGAGTGCAAGCCACACCCAGCTCTCATGGCCACCAACTCCTGCTCTGGCCCACTCCCTGGAGTCCTGGGGTCAGCAGGCCCAAGATGCACCCCCTTCCATGGGGATCTCAGCCAGAGGGTGACCCAATAGCCAGAGTCTGCAAGTGGCTGACCAAGGCATGAGACCACCTGCCCCTCCCCCAACCCCCAACCAGGGCAGGAGAGAGACAACAGACCCAGCCTGTCCTGCTGAATTTATTCATGTGAACAGCCCCCGCCCTTGGCCTCCAGTGACTCCCTGTTAGGGCTGGGCATCTCCCCAATAACACGGACACAGCCAGCCAGCCTGGGGGAGGCCAGAGTGGCAGTCTCACGGCCAGCACGCATCCCCTATTCTGGACTCCTCACCCCCATCGCACCCCCTTCTAGACCAATGGGGTGGAGAGCTTGGAAGACACCTTGGGTGGCAACACAGCCTCATGGTCTGTGTGAGGAAGGGACAGAGTGGGTACCTGTGAGAAGCCCCTCCTTCAAGTGCCAGGGTGGGGGGCTAGTGGGGGGCTCCAGCTGAAGCAAGTCCCAGCCCAGAGGCTGGAAATGCCCAGGAGAAGGATCAGAAGGGGACATGAAAGAGGTTTCCACTGAGGGCACCTGGTTCCAATTGCGGCCCTCAGCAGCGGTGGGTGGGGTCTCCTTACACGGCCTCTTCCAGGGCCCGGCCCAGGGATCTCCCCTCTACCCGCCAAAGGCTGAACAGCCCTGCTAGGCAGGACCACAGCCCCAGGGCCTGGGTGCTCCAGCTCTGGCACCAGCTGCACACCCCTCCCACTTCTGGCCCTGTCTGCCTTCTTCCCTGAGGCTCCGAGGGAGGTCTCCACCCTCCTCCTGCTGAGTCAGGCCTCAGCTCCTGGTGAGAAGCTCTAGCAGCCCTGCCTGGCGCTGGCCACAGCTCCCCTCCCGTCTCCCATGCCCAGGATCCAGTTTGTCCCAGGAGTGAGCTGAGTGAGGTGTTGAACTCTCCCCAGCAGGCAGCCCAGGGGCAGAGTCAGAGAAAATGGGGGCTGGAAGTGGGTATGGTGTGCACCTCTGTCCCCAGCAGATACAGTCATCACTTTGCACACCCTTGGGAACACCAACACAGACACACACACCCAGCCACACACCAGACGAAGAGCAGACTTGACCCCAGCAACGTCCTGCTGGGGCAGGCAAGAAAGGCAGATGTGGGGACCCGAGCCTCCCACCACTCAGCCCCCACCACTCAGCCCCCACCACTCAGCAGGAAAAGCACCCCAGAAAACTAAACCGCTCCACTTACATTCTACAAAGTCTACATAAAATTTAAGTCTGCGATGGAGTGGTTTTGTTGTAGTCACAAGGCTGGAAACCTTCTCCACTATATTATTTTAGGGCATCCTGTCTGTTGCAGTCAAACGCTCTACCTCGGAGCTTCTTGTTGCTTTGCTGTAGAGACTCCTATGTTTCCCAGGCTGGTCTTGAACACCTGGCTTCCCAAAGTGCTGGAGTTATAGACATGATCTACCACACCTGGCCTTTATTTATTTTTAAGAGACGGGGTCTTGCTATGTTGCCCAGGCTGCTGGAGTGCAGAGGCTATTCACAGAAACGGTCTTAGAACCTGCAGCCTCGAAAAGTGATCCTCCCTACCTCGCTGGAAGTGCAGGTGTGCGCCCCCACGCCCAGCTTTAATTTTAGAGCTTTTCATCACCCTCAAGAGAAACCCATTACTCCCTAGTCTTTCCTGCCCCCTGCCCCGATAAACACTAAACTGCTTTTGGTCTCTGTGGATTTGCAGTGTCTGGCCTGGACATTTCTTATAAGTGGGATAACATGTGGCCTTTCGTGTCTGGCTTGGTTCACCCTGCACACTTCCGAGGTTCACCCATGCTGTGGCCTGCCAGCGTTCCAATCCTTTTGTGGCTGATTATCCTCCTCTCCTTGTATGAATATACCACATTTTGTTTATTCGGCAACTGATGGACACTGATGGTTTTTACTTTTCGGCTATCATGAATAATGATAATGTTATTGATAATGAATAATGTTGCTATGAACATTTGTGTGCAATGTTTGGTGTAGATGTGTTTTTATTAAAATTGCAAAAATGTGTATCTCTAATAACAAAGTCTGAACGATAGGTTAAGTACCTGGAACCCATGTACTGGAACAGCTGCCCCGGAAAGGGGGGTCCAGAGCTGCAAACCTCCAATCCCAAACAGGCCCCTCAAAACTAAGGCCCTACAAGGACTGGCTCACCCTCCGTCCGGCCCACCCACCACTTCTGCCCCAAGCCAGGGAGGGAGCCTGAGGAGCCGGCTCCAGTGCTGCAGAAGGAGCAGGGTCTCCCGGAGCACCTAGGTTCATTCGTCTTTTTTGTCTTTTTTTTTTTTTTTTTTTTTTTGAGACGCAGTCTCGCTCTGTCACCCAGGCTGGGGTGCAGTGGTGCAATCCCGGCTCACTGAAATCTCCGCCTCCCGGGTTCAACCGATTCTTCCGCCTCAGCCTCCCGAGGAGCTAGGACTACAGGCACCTGCCACCCCACCCGGCTAATTTTTGTATTATTAAGTAGAGACAGGCGTTTCACCATGTTGGCCAGGCTGGTCTCGAACTCCTGACCTCGTGATCCGCCCGCCTTGGCCTCCCACAGTGCTGGGATTACAGGCAGGAGCCATCGCGCCGGCCAAGTTCATTCTTACTGAGACTCCTCTGGCCTGCTCCTGCTCCCTGCAACCTCTGTTCCCCGGGACCCCACCCCATCCTCCCCGACCCTGCTCCCTCTCCCACGACCCCTGTCCCGTCCCCCTGACCCCCGCCCCGTCTACTGCGACCGCGCCCCGTCCCCCGCGACCCCTGTCCCGTGTCCCACGACCCCGTCCCATCCCCCATGACCCGTCCCAACCCCCACTACCCCGCCCCATCTCCCACGACCCCGTTCCATCCCCCACGACCCCTGTCCCGTCCCCCACGCCCCCGCCCGCCAGCGCGAGAAAACAGGAAGCCGCGCGCGGCGGCGGCGCTGGAAGTGCAGGAAACGGCGGCGGGCGCGGCGCTTATCTCGGGCCGCAGCCCGGACCCCTGGCCTCAAGCCGGGCAGGGGGCGCCAAGGACAGGGCCTGCTCACCTGGTGGGGAGCCCTGGCCGCCTCTGCCCCTGACCGCGGCTGTCACAATCCGGCCAGGCCAGGCGGGGAGGCTGCGAGGACGCCCGTGTCGGGACCTCCCGACGGGAGCGAGGCCGGAAGGCGACCCGGGAACCCGCGTCCAGCCCCAGGGCTGCCCACCTCCCCAGCGCACGCGGCCCTGCCCTGCCCCCAGAGGCCTGACCTCCTCATTTCCCCCAAAACAAGGACTCGCTTCCCCCAGCAGGTGCGACCTCCCGCTGGCTCTTCCGGATTGTAATGGGGAGGGGGAAGAGCGGGGAGCAGCGATGGTTGTTTCTGTGTTTACAAAGCTGGGTCTTTTCCTGGGGAGGGGGCAGGATGGGGGCTGTCGCTGGGCCTCCCCTAGGGTCCTGAAGGCACTGGCAGAGACAATGGGCCCCAGCACCTGGCTTCCCCCCACCAGTGAGTGTGTGTTTCCCGGAGCTGGGGGGAACTTGTTTCCGAGTCAGCCACAGCTGGAGCAGGGGGGCCTCCCTGCACACCTGCAGGGCTCAGAGCCCACACAAGGCCGGGCACCTCCCAGGTCTGGGCGCAGCTGTTTCCTCTGAGGACCACTCACACTCCTCCCCAGCCGTCTCCAGCCGCCGCGTGGTGTTCTGTCCTGTCCGCTCACAGGGCCTGGGTATGGCAGGTACTGAGACAACATCCATCTGTCCCACCACCTCCCTCGGGTCAGCTTCAGCAGAACTCCCAGGCTGGGGTGGGGGCCAGCGGTGGTGGTGGGGGAAGGTGCTTTGGGAGATCATGAGAGGCTGCATCCCCCACCGCTGAAGAGGTGGAGGTGGGGTGGGGAGAGAGAGGAGCTTGGGGGCAGGGGTGGGGAACACACAAGAGGAAAAGTCAGGATTAACTTTTGGTTTTGCAAATCCAGAGACTAGCCAGTTGCCCGAGTTCCAGATGTTCTTTCAAAGGCGCCCAGTCTGGGGAGGCCTCGGGACCCAGGCCCCCTTCAAAGCCTGCCTGGCCCCCTCTTCCCAGCGCTGCACATGGAGGGGTCTGACTCCTGAGCTGTGGGAAGTTGCACAACCCCAGCCAGTGCCCTGCAGGCCCCATCTGTTACCCTGGCACAGCCCCCACCTCCCTGGAGCAGCCAAGCCCTGAGAAGGCATGAGGGTGGGACAGGACAGTACCGTGTGCAGCTCCAACCCAGAAACAGTATTTTACAAAGAACCAGGCTCAGGCCACCTGCCCTGGGCCTCTGCAGGGAAGGCACCACCATTCGGTCTATGGACATACAGGGCCAGTCCATGGGATCTGCCCTCAGTGGTTCCATGGCCAATGGCTCTGTCCCTATCGGCCGTGGGGCCAGTGAGTCTCTTTCCATCTCTGGGTTGATTCTGGTCAGTTCCAGGCAACAAACATTTATTGAGCAGCTCATGTGCTAGCCTGGGCCAGGTGCTGGTGTACCATGCTGAGGGAGACATGCCTCTATCCTCATGGAGCTACAGAGGGGCTACGGTCCCAGCACTGAACCCAAAGAGGACCTGAGCCTCTCAGGTCTGAGCAGGCACCGCGGCTTCTCTCCTAGTCTCAGTGGCTCTCGGTAGCTCTGGGCCTCTTCCTGTAGCTCCACACATGCCCCTACACCTAGTCTGGTTGGGCTGTCGCCATCCTGGACAAGTGAACTTTGTCCCAGAAGCCCAAAGCCCACCTTGCTCCCATTCTGCGTGAGGGGAGGAGCCATGGGCCAGGACACAGGGCTTCTCACCCATCCGTGTGGTTGTGGCCCAGGACTAGGCACGGACATGTGTCCCCAAAACCCTGAGGCCTCTGTTCCTCCTCCTGCCCCCAAGAGGCTGAGGCTGTGGTTTGTTTGAACCTTTCTCAGTCTGGGTAGAGGGAGCTGTTTCTGTTGCCCACCCACATCCCCAGCCTCTGATTGCTCTGAACAGCGGAACGGGAGCACTGTGGGTGGGCAGGAGCCATGGAGCAGCCCAGGAGGTCATGCATGGACAGGAGAGGAGTGCCCTCCCCATGGCCCAGGGGTTGGGGCAGGTCTAAGCGCAAGAAGTCAGCTGCCCCTGGGGCAGTGTGACAGTGGGAGCCTTCATGGAGGGCCTGTCCCCATCCTGTCCCTGAGCCCAGCCCAGAACCCTGGATTCTTTTCTTTCTCCGGGCCCCAAATCAGCTGCCTCCCAGCCACGCTCTGCTGTCCGTACCTTATGCTCCACACCCCAGCATAAGTCGCCCACAGTTCCCCAGCTCCCTCAGGGACCTCAAACAGACCCACTCCCCCTTTAGTGCTTCCCATGTTCAGGTTCCCCAAAGACCCACCCAGGTACTCCAGCCAGGACCCTGGGCAGCCTGTACCTCTCTTTACCCTTTCATCCTCACCAGCCCTCCACGCAAGCCGCGGGGATCTTTCTAGATTCCCAATTCTAACATCCCTCTTTCACCAGAGACCTTCCGCTGCCTAGGGATAAGTCCGAGTGCCTCCCTCAAGTGCTTTGGCTCCAGCTGGGGCTCCTGCACCCTGCCTCTCCCCTTCATCCCTCCCACACTTGCCCACGCTGGCCCCCATGGAGCAGGCAATGCAGAACTAGGCCTGGGAACGCTTGCTGGGTGCTTGTGCTCAGAGCATGGCCAGGGACTCTGTCAGAAGTGCTAACTCTGCAGGTGAGTCCAAGGCTCTGAAGTCCAGGAAGCTTGGTCCCCAGCCTCCAGGCAGGGGACGTATGGCAGAGCCCATGCCCTGGGCCTGGGTCTGAGGCCAGCTCTTACACTGCTGGCTGTGATTTGGGGCAAGTCTCACAGCCTCCTCGTGCTTCAGTTTCCCCATCTATAAAACAGACAGTAGCTCTTGCTGTGCAGACGAAATACATTAACACGGAGTGTGGAGTTGGGCCAGGGTTAGCTTGGGAGGTTACTTCTTTCTTCTGCTGCTGCCCCTGATCCCAAAGAATGCCAGAGGCACAGCCTGCCCGCTGCCTCTCAGGGAAGGGGAGGGAACAGGTGTCAGGGACTTTACCTCCTGTGCTCCTCCATGGGCCGAGATCAGGGAGCGGGTGACAGACTCCCAGACCCGTGCATCAGATGAGGGAACCAGGGGTCAGTCCCCCAGCAAATGCAGGGTGCCAGGGGCCAGAAAGCAGGCCCCAGCCTGGCCAGTCCTGCAGAGGAGGCTGGGCAGTCTCTGAGCCCAGGCCGTGGCCACCCCTCCTGAGGCAGCAGGAAATAGCCTGGCCAAGCTCACAGCCAGGGCCCGCAGCTCCCGCTTCCCTTCGGGCCCGTTTCCTTTATCCGGTTGTTTTGCTCCGAATCCACCAAGTCCAGCCTTCCCCTCCCCTCAATTTCCACCCCCGGCCCCGGTCCAAAGTGGAGCAGGATGGATACGTGACGTTTTAGGGGCCCCAGGAGTCCCCCGCTCTCCCCTCCGCCCAGCCGGGAGCAGCTGACCGAGCCGGAGCGCGCCCAGCGTCCCGCGCCCGCCCTCTGCTGCCCGAGGCTGGGAGCGGCGGCTCCGCCCCGTCCAGGTGCCACAGGAGGTGCCGGTCCCCGCATTCCCCCTCCACCGCCCCCCCGCCATCGAAGCGCAGATCCCGGGGCGGTCCCAGGCCCACAGAGAGGCAGGCGAAGGGAGTGCCGGACCCGCAGCGCCAGCTCCGTTTATTGAGGCCTTCGGCGCGTGGAGGGCGGGCCTCCTCCGAGACCCAGCGGCGGCCGGGCGCGCTCCCTTCTCCAAGTCCTGGGCCCTGCGGGGAGCGCGGGCTGCGTCGAGCGGGGGGCCGAGGTCACCGACAAGTCGACAAAACGAGGCGCGTCTCCAGGCTCTGCCGCGGCCCCGCTGGTTCTCCTCCCCGCGCAGGGCACCGGAGGCAGAGCCAGGCCGGGCCGCGCTAGGAGCCCCTGGAGGCCGGGACGTGCAGCGCGAAGAGCTTCTCCCAGCAGGTGGCGACGGCGTCCAGGGCGCGCAGCAGGAGCTGCCTTCGGCCGCCGCGACGCCGGGCAGGGCGCACCTCGGGCCGCCGGCTCCGCTGTCGGGGACAGGGCGGTCAGCGAATGCGCACGGCCCCCGCGCCCAGCCCGGCCCCTGCGCCCAGCCCGGCCCGGGAAGGGAGGCGCGGCCCAGCCCGACCTCAGCCTAGGGCCATGGAGCCCCAGGACGCGCGGCGGCCCTGTGGGGTTAGGGGAGGTCTGGCCCCGGCTGCACTCAGGGACGCACACCTGGGGCAGCGTCCTGCAGTGGCGCCGCATCACCGCCTCGGTGCGCACAGCCACGGTCCACGCAGCTCTCTCCAGGGCACCGCGGCGGCTCCCGGCCACCGCCCCGCGCAGGGTCCGACCCAGGGATGAGATGGACAGGAGGATACTGTGCTCCTGGGGAGGGAAGGGAGGAAGGCGGGGTGGGGGTCGGGGGAGACTGAGAGAGGAGCAGACCGGCGAACTTGGGTAGGGGCGCCTCCTCCATACCTTCTGGGCGCCACAGGAGGCCCGAGGCCGTCCCCGCCGTCCCCAGCTCCCGGGTCTAGTCAGGTTTTTCTGTATGAAATGAAAGTGTCTGGAGCCTGGCCTGGTCTCTTCGGCCCCCGCCCCGCCCCACTTCACGGCAGCCTGCAGATCCTCGAAGATGATGGCGCGATAGTGGCGAAGCACGTCGGGGACGCTGCAGGCCGGGGAATGGGCGCGGCTTGGCGCGGTCCCCAGCAGCGCCAACAGGAGCGCCCAGAGTGCAGGCTTGGGGGATACCTGGAGGAGACAGCAGGCTGGGGTTAGGCCTGGGGGCGGGGGTTCCCAGCACAGGGAGCAGCCAGCCCGCCTGCACTTGGTCTCCGCAGAAGCCCCACACCACGGGATCTCTGAGCCTTATGAAATGGACATGTCACCAGCCAAGAAAGGCTGTAGGCACAGGGCTGGCGGGATAAATCAGGAGAGACAACAGATAAGTCTGCAAACCAGACAGCTCTATGCTCCCTGCAAAGATGTGCAAGGGGTGAGTGATGTGGGTTGGGAGGCCATGTCACTGAGCCCTGAAGAGCCCAGCAGGAGACTGAGGGGGCAGGGCCAGAGGCAGGAGAGCCTGGCTCTGTGGTCCACGTAGGAGGTCCATGTAGGCCCACCTGACCCTGCACAGCTCGAGTGGGGCTGGTCTGCAGGCTCTTGGGGGTACAGTAGGAAGTTGTCCCAGTACAGGCTGCCCCACCCATGGCCACGCCCATTCAACTCCGCACGTCCCACACTGGCGCCCTCTGGGTTAGCTCAGAGACATGGGGACTGGGGAACTCCTTGTACCTCCGACCCAACTGGGGCAGGGGCTCAGAGCTCCAAGCCGCACCCTATTGGAAGGGGAAAGCTGGGGGGACTCCCAGAAGCCACAGAGGAAGAAGCAGCCACCACATCCAGCCCCAGCCAACAGTTGCAAAAGCCCCCTCTGCCTGTACCAGCCGCCCCACGCCATCGCTCCAGGCAGCCTATGCCACGGGCCTCCGCGGACCCAAAGTGGAGGGCCTGCTCCCACAGGGAAAAAGCCCAAACATCAAGGAGACAGCTGATGGCCCCCAGGTTCCCAGCCACTCAAAGGGGCCAGCCCCAAACCTTCCCCTGGGCCCCCGCATGGAGTCAGACAGCAGATCTAGGGCTGGAAAATTAATCATGCGAACCCGACCGAGATAACAGGACTCGACTCGGCTTCCCAGCCCTGGCAGGGGAGCCTGACCAAGCAGCACCCCAACCCTCGCCTAGAGCTGGGGGCCTGGTGGGGGTGGCAGCTCCTGCTCAGAGCTTGAAGCGGCAATGGCTGGAAGAGCAGACGGCTTGCTACGGCCCCTTCTTGAACCTGGCCCCCCAACCACACACGCCACGGCCAACTTGGTGGGCTCAGGATTGCCACGTCATCCCCTCTGCCTGCTCTGGGTCAGAGGTCATAGCGAAAACCAGAGCCTGACTCCTAAGCAGGCCAGCTGGAGCTGCAAGGATGTCCAGCACCTGCTGTGTCCTACCCAGGTGGGGCAGACAGGCTGCCCTGGGAGTCCCACCTGGCCTGTTAGTACCACTTCCTGGCTCAAGCCTCAGCCCAGCTTAGAACAGGGTGGCCCGGCACCCGGGAGCCCCCCTCGCCCAACTACCAGAAGCCAGGGCACATGCACCCACTGCCACCCACAGTGACACAGTGACCAGAGCCAACCGGAGATTTCCCGGTGGGACTCAGGGGAACAAGCAGTGTCTCCTGAGCTGTGTGTACCCCCAGCCCCTCCACCCAAGTGAGCCCCTCCCTAGAGGAGGCCCACAGCTGCTCACCATGGGCCTTTCAGCGTCTTGCCCTCCCTCACTCCCGCCAGCAGGCCACACACATGATCCTGGGGTCCTCGGACGGGGTGTGCACCACCGCACCAGGTCCACCACCAGCCAACGGCTTCCCTGGACAGGCTGCCTGGAGGACTGCAGAGGGGCAGGCCAGGCGGAGGCTTTTGAAGTTGGCTCCTCCAAGCTGAGGGAGGGAGCAGGAGAGGGAAGGAGGCCACGCAATCCCAGCCCTGCCCCCTCCTCCCCACTCCCTATCACTTCAATTAACCTGGCCCTGGAACTGAGTAGCCACCTCTCCCAGGGGATCCAGGGCTAATGTGGGTCTTGGATTAACTTGTCAGTCCCAGAGATACTGTTCTGTCAAGGAGGGGCGGGGCGCTGTGTGGGCTGGGCGGTGCAGGGCCCAGCTGGTGGGGGAGGGGAGCCAGGTGAGACTGGGGCCAACTCTGTGGCCGGCAAGTGCTGCCTCTCCCAGGGAGCTGGCTGATGGGCAGAGCTGGCAGGAGGCCCTCATGCCCGCCCCAGCTGCTGGACCTGCAGCCTGACATCCAGGGGGCCCTGCCCCAGCAGGTCCCAAGACGTGGGGCTTCCCGGGCCCCCGCTGCTGGCCCGGCCTCACTCCTCCTGGGCTGAGGGGTCTCGCTGGGGCTGTGACTCTGCGTAAAGACACCGGGAGCTGGCGGGTCCCCATCCTTGGCTGCTGTCACTTCTGCTGCCGTCTGGGGCAGGCGCTCTGGTTTGCAGCCTGACAGGCCGTGGTGAAGACACCTCGGAACAAGAGCAGCCTCCGAGGCGCAGCTCGCCTTCGTGGGCTGAACACGAGGCGCAGCTCGCCTTCGTGGGCTGAACAAATCTCCGTTGGAACAAGAGCAACCTCCGAGGCGCAGCTCGCCTTCGTGGGCTGAACAAATCTCCGTTGGAACAAGAGCAGCCTCCGAGGCGCAGCTCGCCTTCGTGGGCTGAACACGAGGCGCAGCTCGCCTTCGTGGGCTGAACAAATCTCCGTTGGAACAAGAGCAGCCTCCGAGGCGCAGCTCGCCTTCGTGGGCTGAACAAATCTCCGTTGGCACAAGAGCGACCTCCGAGGCGCAGCTCGCCTTCGTGGGCTGAAAAATCTCCGTTGGAACAAGAGCAGCCTCCGAGGCGCAGCTCGCCTTCGTGGGCTGAACAAATCTCCGTTGGAACAAGAGCAGCCTCCGAGGCGCAGCTCACCTTTGTGGGCTGAACACGAGGCGCAGCTCGCCTTCGTGGGCTGAAAAATCTCCGCTGGAGACAGGTTAAGGTAGTTTCCCAGGGGGAAAAGTCAGTGATTCACACAACAGTCAAGAACAGACCACACAGGTGACAGGAGTCCCCTAGGATTGTAACACTGCATCTTTACGTTTTTGCTTTTTCTGTGTTTGGATGTGATTAAATGCTGTGACAGGCTGTGCGGGTCTGCAGCCCAGGAGCCCCAGGCTCTGGCACACAGCCTGGGGGTGCAGGAGGCCTTGCCTGCCAGCCTTGGGTAAATGCACTCTAATATCTGCAAGACAACATCGCCTAAGGAGGTGTTTCTCAGAATGTGTCCCCACCGTTAAGTGACGCACAACTGTAGCTTGGCCTCAAAGCATCTGAGAAAACCCCACACAGGCAAGAAAGAGGAGACACACATGGACAACGCAAGTGCTCTGGAACTTTCCAGGGGCCCTGCAGGAAGCCTCCCCTGAACATGGCCTGATACATTCTTTTCTGTGTGACCCCTCAATGCCCACCCAGCTGAGGTCAGAGAAGTGCTTCCTTCCTAGGCCTGTTTCCACATCTATACGGGGCCGGGCTGGCTTTTCAAAATTCCTAAGCCTCAATTTCCACATCTGTACAGGACCGAGATGGTTTTACAAACTTCCTCGGCCTCGGTGTCCACATCTGTACAGGACCGGGCTGGTTTTACAAACATCCTCGGCCTCGGTGTCCACGTCTGTACAGGACCGGGCTGGTTTTACAAACATCCTCGGCCTCGGTGTCCACGTCTGTACAGGACCGGGCTGGTTTTACAAACATCCTCGGCCTCGGTGTCCACGTCTGTACAGGACCGAGATGGTTTTACAAACTTCCTCGGCCTCGGTGTCCACATCTGTACAGGACCGGGATGACTTTACAAACTTCCTCGGCCTCGGTGTCCACGTCTGTACAGGACCGGGCTGGTTTTACAAACATCCTCGGCCTCGGTGTCCACATCTGTACAGGACCGGGCTGGTTTTACAAACATCCTCGGCCTCGGTGTCCACGTCTGTACAGGACCGGGATGACTTTACAAACTTCCTCGGCCTCGGTGTCCACGTCTGTACAGGACCGGGATGACTTTACAAACTTCCTCGGCCTCGGTGTCCACGTCTGTACAGGACCGGGATGACTTTACAAACTTCCTCGGCCTCGGTGTCCACGTCTGTACAGGACCGGGCTGGTTTTACAAACTTCCTCGGCCTCGGTGTCCACGTCTGTACAGGACCGGGCTGGTTTTACAAACATCCTCGGCCTCGGTGTCCACGTCTGTACAGGACCGGGATGACTTTACAAACTTCCTCGGCCTCGGTGTCCACGTCTGTACAGGACCGGGCTGACTTTACAAACTTCCTCGGCCTCGGTGTCCACGTCTGTACAGGACCGGGCTGACTTTACAAACTTCCTCGGCCTCGGTGTCCACGTCTGTACAGGACCGGGATGACTTTACAAACTTCCTCGGCCTCGGTGTCCACGTCTGTACAGGACCGGGCTGGTTTTACAAACTTCCTCGGCCTCGGTGTCCACGTCTGTACAGGACCGGGCTGACTTTACAAACTTCCTCGGCCTCGGTGTCCACGTCTGTACAGGACCGGGCTGACTTTACAAACTCCAAAAGGCTGCAGCTCTCTCTTCGTCTTCAGAGTAAATGTTGAAGGCTCCCTCATGCTTCCATGTCTCCATGAAAGATCAAAGGAAACTCCTCCACAAGTCTGAATGAAAACACTCATGAAGCTCCAGCAGCTGCTCCTCAGGACGGGGCGAGAGGAAGGACTTCCAGATTTCAACGATTTGAGCTGGACCCCAGGTTGCCTGCCCAGCAGAGACCAGCAGTTCCTGACCCCACACGGGTGGCAGGTCCCTTGCCCTGGACTGGCCATGTCCTCGAGGTCCCCAGAACCACAGGGAAGGGGGAGCCACACCCACATTCTGGTCTACCAGGACCACCCCATGTGCAGACAGGGATCCCCCACCCCAGCCATTCTCACTCGTCAGGAGCAGGCAGACCACAAGGCCTAGCACAGGCCCCCACGTGCAGGAGGGCAGAGCTGTGGGTCAGTGACTGACCACCACCACAGGCCCTGCCACTGGTACCACAAAACAGGTTGGGACCCTCCGGGACTCCCCTCTCACAAGGAACGTCCAGGGACAGCTGCTCTCCAGCAGCCTTCTTGGCCCACGTGACAGTGCCCTCCTCCTCCCCTGCAGGGCTTAACAGCTGTCCACCCACACCCTCTGGGCCAGCCACCAGCTCCAGCCAGATGTCTCCAGCCCTGGCCTACACAAGAGCCAGCTGGCTCCCAGCCGGATACACACACACGATCCCAGGCCTGACGACGTCCTTTATCCTTATGCAGCTAAGGTTGAAAAGCAGCCAACTCTCCCAGGTAATGCAACGTTCAACCTAGAGATGAGAACCATTACAGTGCTTTAAGGTTAAATTAGCAAAAATAAACTCACGGCCGGGTGCGGTGGCTCACGCCTGTAATCCCAGCACTTTGGGAGGCCGAGGCAGACGGATCACCTGAGGTCAGGAGTTTGGGAGCGGGCGCCTGTAGTACCAGCTACTCGGGAGGCTGAGACAGGAGAACTGCTTGAACCCAGGAGGCAGAGGTTGCAGTGAACCGAGATCGTGCCACTGCACTCCAGCCTGGGCAACAAAGCGAGACTCTGTCTCAAAAATAAATAAATAAATAAATAAACTCACCTCCAAAGGTAAGAACGCCTCTTACTGGTGACACTGTCACTCGACACATGCCTGAGGGGCCTGGGAGGCTGTATGGAGAGGCCCTGGGCAGAGCTGAGTTCTGTTTGCACTCAGACTCCAGGGAGGCCCCAGCTGTCCCCTGACCAAGACCCTTGCAGGCGGCTGCCAGGCTCCTGCGAGCACCTTGGTCCTGCAGGCAGCTCGGTCCCCACTATCTCCAGCTGTCCCCACACAGGGCTTTCGGCCAGAACATCTGCACTCCCACCACCTTCTCTACAGTCTGGGGGAACCCGGGCACCTCCACAGTGCCGCCTCTGTGAGACACTGGCTATCTTGGGGAACCCGGGCACCTCCACAGTGCCTCCTCTGTGAGACACTGGCTATCTTGGGGAACCCGGGCACCTCCACAGTGCCTCCTCTGTGAGACACTGGCTATCTGGGGGAACCCGGGCACCTCCACAGTGCCTCCTCTGTGAGACACTGGCTATCTGGGGGAACCCGGGCACCTCCACAGTGCCTCCTCTGTGAGACACTGGCTATCTGGGGGAACCCGGGCACCGCCACAGTGCCTCCTCTGTGAGACACTGGCTATCTGGGGGAACCCGGGCACCGCCACAGTGCCTCCTCTGTGAGACACTGGCTATCTGGGGGAACCCGGGCACCGCCACAGTGCCTCCTCTGTGAGACACTGGCTATCTGGGGGAACCCGGGCACCGCCACAGTGCCTCCTCTGTGAGACACTGGCTATCTGCAAGAGGCTTCTGCCCAGGCAAGGGTGATCACAGCCAGGACAGTGTGGGACAGGCCAGGACAGCGTGGGACACGCCAGGACAGCGTGGGACAGGCCAGGACAGTGTGGGACAGGCCAGGACAGTGTGGGACAGGCCAGGACAGCGTGGGACACGCCAGGACAGCGTGGGACAGGCCAGGACAGTGTGGGACATGCCAGGACAGTGTGGGACACGCCAGGACAGGCCAGACTGGGGCAGCAGAAGCAGGAGCCAGGGAAGGCCCCAGAGAAAACCAGCAGGCTGCCTGCTCTGACACGAGACATAAAAACTTTTAATGAAGGAGGACACGGCTCAGGGCCCTTCCACAGGCCCTCCCACGTGCGGCCCAACCCTGCCCCACGGAGACCGGCCACGGCGAGCGACCGGTCAATCAGAAGGTGTTCTTGATGCGGCCGGCCACCAGCCTAAGGATGTCCCCGATCTTCTTCTGCCAGTTGGCGATGTCCTTGGACACGGCGCACCACAGCTCCCCGTGCCGCGGCTCTGCGCTCTCGCAGCGCTTCCGCACCTCCTCCTGCTGCTCCTGGGGGGACCACAGGGCACTTCAGGCAGGGGTCCTCCCACGCTACTCCCCAGACCTCGCCTGCTTCTCGCCTGCCCCCATGCAGACCTGGCTCTGGCAGGACCAACCCCAACTGGCGGGCGAGGGGGCACAGGCCCTGCAGCAGAAGGCAAGGCTCTTTCAGGTGTGTTCCTCAAAGGAGCCTGAGGAGCACGGACCCCCCAGCCTCAGCGCACAGATGAGGAGCTGAGCCAGGCTCCCCATGTCTGTGCCTCACACAAGTGCTCACGTCTGCCTTCTCCAAACAAGGAGTTAGGGTTCATGTGGGCTGGCAACACTTTCCAGGGAAGACCAGGACAGCCTGACCGCCTCCAGCACAGCTCTGGGGGGCAGGTGGGAGCGGAGGGGCTGCTGTCCAGGCTCTCCTAGAAAGCCATACCCAGGCTCAGGCCCAAGAAAAAGGCCAACTCCATTCCCATTCCTCAAGTGAGCCCAGGCCCCAGCCAGCAAGTAACTCATTAAAATACGCCAGCAGACAGGCCACTCTGAGGGACTGGGCACCTCAGTTCCAGGGTGTGGAGCTGTGAGGCTATAAGCAGAAAACGGATGTGGAGGCAGAGACTGCCTTGGGGGGGGGGCGTCGAGGATGCTGTGCCCCACCCACCCGGTCCATCCTCCCACCGCCGGGCAGAGTCACGCGGGCCGTGGCCACCTCCTAGAGCCCCCGGGGCTGGCAGAACTCCCCACCACGGTCCCGGAAGGCACTGAGCGGCGGTCTGCCGAGGGGCCTCACCTCAGTGCCATGCTGCAGCTCAAACTTGTAGAAGAAGGCCCAGGCATCCCCCAGGTCCGAGTCAATCTTCACAGTGCGGTGGAACCACTCCCTGGCCTTGGTGATCTTCCGCTGACTCCAGAACAGCCTGTTCCGGAAGGACAGGAACCAGAGTGAGTGGCTGCAGGACAGTGTTCTGGGGCAGGGGAAGGGCTCCAGGGCCATCAGCTTCATCCCTGACCCGCAGCCCTGGAGCTCCCCGCAAGAAGGCCCAAGGAGCAGGGCCTGGGCTGATCTGGAAATTGCCCCAGATCATTAACTTGAAGTCGTCCTTCACAGGTCTAACCAAATCGTTTTTTTTTTTTTGAGACGCAGTCTTGCTCTGTCGCCCAGGCCGGCGTGCAGTGGTGCGCTCTCTGCTCTCCGCAACCTCTGCCTCCTGGGTTCAAGTGATTCTCCTGCCTCAGCCTCCTGAGTAGCTGGGATTACAGGCACCTGCCACCATGCCCGGCTAATTTTTGTATTTTTAGTAGAGATGGGGTTTCACTGTGTTGGTCAGGCTGGTCTCAAACTCCTGACCTCATGATCCACCTGCCTCAGCCTCCCAGTGCTGGGATTATAGGCGTGAGCCACCGTGCCTGGCCCAAATTGTTTCTTTAAAAATTCACACGCAGGGAAAGACCTTCCAACTCCATAAAATTAGGGTCAAATACAAGGAGATGAAACTAAACCTGACACAAAATTAAACTACAACTTTGATGAGGGAAAGTTACACAGTTTCAGCTCCTCACTGAGACACCTGCTGGATCATCCTGCCCCGCCTGGCCTCCAGCAGCAACCCCAGTGAACACTGAGAAGATGGACTTCGGGCAGCACCAGGGCCTGGGCCTGCGGCCCACAGCTCTCAGGCCACAGGATTGATACCACCGTGCCTGCCAGACACATGGACACCTGAAAACCAGGCCTGAAGAGGTCCATGCTGGACTATCAGAGGCCAGGTTGGGGGTGTGCATGGCACCCCCCCAAACTGCTGGAGAAAGGATGGCGGGCACTGCTGCTGGGCACGCTGGCAGGCCTGGGACTCTGCGTTGCTGCCACCCTTCCCACCCTCTCCTCGGGGTCACCTCCCCCTAGAGCCAGAGGCACTGCAGTCAAGAGACGACACGAGGAACCCTCCACTCCAGGCAGCTGTTTGGGTTCGTCTCAGTTGCCAAACGGAATAATTTCACACTCTGATAACCTGATTGTTTTTTAAGCCTTGTGGTATTCTTAATTGCCCAGTGTTAGATAAACTGTGATTTAAGGAGCACAAACCCAGATAGCAGGCACACAAAACACTGGCTTGGGAATAGCAAGGAGTGACTTATTTACTTTAGCAAAGCCTTTTATAAGGTTTTATGGCTGCACTATCAGAGTGTCACCCAGAAGTCACTCTGGGAGGTGGACGCACAGGGGAGGACCAAGGGAGCACCAGGCAGACACAAGCCACCCTGTGGGGAGCCTCTCTCATCTGTCAGGGGCCCGCGGGCAGGGGAGAGGAGGTGCCCCTACAGGCAGGCCTACGGGGGCAGCACCCAGACCTCTGGAGACCAAGCACCACTGCCACCCAGTGCTGGGGAGAAGGGATGGAGAGAATCAAGAGCCAGCACTAGGAAGGCTGTTGTCTCTGCGTGACCCATGGCAGGGCAGGTGGAGGGGAAGCCGGGCACGTAAGGTGAGGCCCCTCGCCGCTGGGGTCAGACACACCACCTCCGCCAGGTGAGCCCATGTCCTGAGCTGCAGCCTCAGGAGTCCAGGGTTCTTCTAAGAACTCCCTTCACCCCTACATGGTCACTTCCCAGCCTCCTGATGCACACTCAGGCCCAGCTCCTTCTCAGACTGTCATCCTCTTTCTAGAAGGAAACAGAGACCCTGTGGGTTGGGGATGGCCCCGAGCTCCCTGCTGTGCCCCGCACGTGGCAGGCCTTTGCCCACATGTGCCTAGAATCTGCACGCTCTGCCCCACGGCTCCAAGCAGCTGCCTTCGAGGTTTCAGAGTCATGTCCCCAGCGAGTCTCTGACCCAGCGGCCAGCACACCCGAGTGTGAATCACATGGTGTGAGGTCACTCACGGATCTCTGCCTCCCCTTCACACCACGTCTTCTGAGACAGCCTCCAGCAGTCATCGTGGCACCCCTGGGCACACAAATTAGGCTCCAGTCTCCAGCTCTGGATTATTTACGGGCCACAGAGCTGCAAGTGATTTCTTGCCCCAACATAAAGCCTCTTGTCCAAAGGGGCTTCGCTTACCACTTAAAATTCTGTGTGAACCAACATCAGCAAATCTATCCTGTAACCCAGGCCTGTGTAGGTGTAAACTAAAAAATTGCAGAGACGAAGAGAGCAGCCTCCTAGAAGAAGCCGGAACAGAGGAAGGGCTGAACCACACCCAGGGGATCCCTGGGGAGGGAGGGAAGGAGAGAGAAACAGAAAAAAGAGAGAGAGAGAGAGAGAGACTGGCTGTCCCTCCCCAGGGCTTTGGGACAGAAGCCCACAATGCTGCAGCACCCTCAGGTTTGTCTCTGCCGGGAGAGGCGCCTGCCCCGGACCACAGCAGGAGTGACAGCAGCCGAGGATCGGGGGAGCGCACCCTGCCGCCGGGCATCTTTACAATGACCAGGGAGAGGCAGACAGACTGGAAAAAGAGCCCATGAGGACCCCAAGGGTCAGCAATCCTGTGGGGACGCCTCACTCACTTGGCCACGGCCAGGAGCACATGAGGGTCATGCTCACACTTCTTCAGGGCATCCACGCTCTTGGTCCTCCTCTGGGGCCTCGCCTCGAGGAAGATGGCCTCAGACCACAGGATACCTGCAATTCAGAAACAAAGAACAAAGATCTGCACTCCAGCCTCTGGTTCCGGAAAGGTGCCCAGCCTACAGAGATTCTAACCCAGGACGTCCTCAGACGGTGACGGGGCCTCCCACACACTGCTTGCGGAACTTGTGCAAGAACCACGAAGGATGAGTGTTCTGGCCCACCCAAAACCATGGCAGCCCCAAGGGCACAGACAGGACACTCTGCAGAGTTTCACTCTGTCGTTCAGGCTGGAGTGCAATGGCGCGATCTTGGCTCACTGCAACCTCCCACTCCCAGGCTCAAGCAATTCTCCTGCCTCAGTCTCCCAAGTAGCTGGAATTACAGGCGTGCGCCACCATGCCCAGCTCATTTGTGTATCGTAGTAGAGACGGGGTTTCACCATGTTGGCCAGGCTGGTCTCAAACTCCTGACCTCAGGTGATCCACCCGCCTCGGCCTCCCAAAGTGCTGGGATGACAGGCGTGAGCCACCGCTCCTGACGGATTTATTTGTTTTTTGAGACAGGGTTTCACTCCTGTGGTCCAGGCTGGAGGGCAGTGGTGTGATCTCGGCTCACTGCACCCTCTGTTTCCCAGGTTCAAGTGATTCTCGTGCCTCAGTCTCCCAAGTAGCTAGGATTACAGGCACGTGCCACTGTGCCTGGCTACTTTCTGTATTTTTTATAGAGACGGGGTTTCACTATGTTGCCCAGGCTGGTCTCAAGCGACGGACTCCTGGACTCAAGCGATCCTCCCGCCTCAGCCTCCCAAAATGCTGAGATTACAGGCGTGAGCCACCACACCTGGCCAATTTCTTTTAATTTTAAAAGAAAAAGAAATGATAACACTTCAGAACATGAAATCAAATTCTCCCATTTTGAGGCCAGGAATTTCATTAAAATGTCTTAATGGCCAAGTATAGCTGAAACTTTTGACTGAAATGATTCACACAAACAAAACATTTTAATAAAGTCTGTCGGAAGCCTGAGTCCCCACTCCCTGAGGAAGCGCCAGCCCTGTTGAGTCTGGGAAGCCAGAAAGCACCCCCTTACCAGAGTTAGGGCACTCCTGCAGCGCCTTGGCCATGAGCGTATTTGCGATGTTCTTCAGCCCTGCACGGTACTCCAGCCGCACGGACTCCAGCCTGAGGAGACAGGCCCCGGGAGCTCCCACAGCCATCTACCAATGGCGCATATTCTGGAAGCTTCTGGGAAGCCTTGTCTGAAAAGGCTCCCCACCCAGTCACAGCAGCAAGAACTCCATTCCCTGCACAGCACAGCTCACCCACCACAGAAGCAAGGCACTGCCGCCCACATCCCTGCCAGCCCCACTGGCAACCGCCCCAAGGGCAACACCTCAGAAACTGACGCTGTCCAGATGCAGGTGAAGGCATCCAGCACAAGCAAGACCAGCCTGGGAGAGCCGCACAAGGCCCCCAGGAGCTGCCTGTCTGCAGAGTGCAGTACTCCAGCCCCGTCACCCTGAGCTGGATGCAGCACCTCCATGAACAGAGCCTGCACCTCGCAGACTCCTACCCACCTCCAGGGCCCTCCACGCCACCTCCTCTGTGGAGTCAGCTCTCCGGGGTCCATCCTTCCCTCGTCCCAGCCATCGTCAACCCCTCCCTCTCCCAGGCACCCTCCATCAGAACACAAACTAAACTGCATCAAACCATCTGCAGGCCTGTCCCAGTACCTAAGCCGAACCCTCCCAAGGCAGGGACCGTGATTTTTCGTGGCCAGCACCTACTGCCTCGCAAGCCCCCGAGCCTGGAAACACTGCACAAGTCACTCCACACAAGCAGCTGGGTGAGGACGGCCCACCTGATGGGTAAGCTGTGCCAAGAGCCCAGGCTGCCCCCACTCATCAGGACTCACCACAGCCCAGGGTTCTTTGGGTTCTTCAGACGAGACTTTTCCAAAATGGCCCGGGCTCGAGTTAGCTGCCCAATCTTCTCCTCCAGCCGAGAGAGCAAAAGCCACAGGGGTGTGGAGTGGGGACACTTCTTCAACTGCAGCCGACAAGTGAGAGAGCAGCTCAGGTGGTGTCTATGAAGAACTGGGACGCAGCCATGCCAGCTGCTCACTGCAGTGGGCGAGCCAGCACCTCAGGACTGCCTGTGTCCCACTCTGCATTTGTGGGTTTACGAGTGTGCGGTGGTGCTGTGGACCTGTGCACACAGGTCTGTACATACCAGCCTTTACTTCAGGTGTGCCACGCTCTGCACTTCTGAGAGCAGCGTGTGCAGCTTCATACAAGGCAAAGCACAGAACTCAGTGAGGGGACCGGGGTGTGGGTCCTGAGCCCACAGCTCCCTCGCTGTAACCCCCAGCCCTCCACATCTCCTCAGAGGTGAAGGGCAATGGCCCTGCACCAGGGGGCTCAGTTCTGTGAATGCCGGGCCAGCTGCAGCCCGAGGGTGCAGGCAGACATACCCCCTGGTTATAGGCTTCCCGCGCGTTCTCCATCATCTCCTTCTGCTCCTCGATCTGCCCCTTCATCATCCACAGCTTGGGGAAGTCCTCATAGTGCCGCAGGGCCTCCTCGCACAGATCCTGGGCTGCCCTGATGTTGTCTTGCACCCACTCCAGCTTCACAGACTTCATGAACACCTGTGGGGCAGACACGCACCGTCAGCAGGGCATCGGCTCCAAGGCACGTGCTTCGTGTTACGCTCGTCCTCGACACTGTTACCTGCAGCACTGTGGGTACTTTTGTAAGCTTTTCATAGCCTGTTTGTGTACACAAAAGGTGGGGATAAATATATGAGTATGTTTTTGTTTTGTTTTTTTGAGATAGAATCTTGCTCTGTCACCCAGGCTGGAGTGCAGTGGCGCGATCTCGGCTCACTGCAAGCTCTGCCTCCCAGGTTCAAGTAATTCTCCTGCCTCAGCCTCCCCGAGTAGCTGGGACTACAGGCACACGCTACCACACCTGGCTAATTTTGTATTTTTAGTAGAGACGGGGTTTCACCATGTTGGTCAGGCTGGTGTTGAACTCCTGACCTCGTGATCTACCCTCCTCGGCCTCCCAAAGTGCTGGGATTGCAGGTGTGAGCCACCGCGCCCGGCCGCATGCAGGTTTTGTTGTTGTTGTTGTTGAGTTTCCCTCTTGCTGCCCAGGCTGGAGTGTAGTGGCGCAATCTCAGCTCATGGCAACCTCCGCCCCCAGGTTCAAGCAATTCTCTTGCCTCAGCCTCCTGAGTAGCTGGGATTATAGGCATGTGCCACCACGTCCAGCTAATTTGTATTTTTAGTAGAGACAGGGTTTCTCCATGTTGGTCAGGCTGGTCTCAAACTCCCACCCTCAGGTAATCCATCCGCCCTGGCCTCCCAAAGAGATGGGATTACAGATGTGAGAGCCACCACGCCCGGCCACACGGATGTTTTAAAGTCACATCACAAAGATGAGTGTGCTGTGTGCTGAGATTACAGGCGTGAGCCACCATGCCTGGCCATATGAATGTTTTAAAGTCACATCACAAAGATGAGTGTGCTGTGTGCTGAGATTATAGACGTGAGCCACCATGCCTGGCCATATGAATGTGCTCTGGTCTCGTTTGCCTGCTGTCATCTCACATCACCACTCAAGCCAGGTGCGGGGCCCACGTGTGCACACCACGCACCCCGGATGGCCCAGCCCTGCCTGCCACTGCGTACCCGGGCGGTGGGGGCGCTGCTCCGCGCCTTGGCCAGCAGCCTCCGGGCCCGCTCGTACTCATCATTCTCGGACTCCAGCTTCACGGCCGCCAGCCAGATCTCCTCGCTGTTGGGGTTGGCCTGGAGGGCAAGTACAGCAGCGTCAAGAGGGGTCAGAACACAGGGACCAGCGCCTGATCACACTTAATCAAAAGCAGGCAGGCAGGAACTGAGCCAGGCCTTGTTCTGCTGCAGGATTAGTCCGGCCCAAGCCCTTCCCAGGGAGGAGATGACAGAGCAGACTCCAGTGCAAGAATCCGGACTCACCTGGAAACACACAGGTCCATGTTCACTCTAGTACAGCGCGGACAGCGAGGAGGCTGCCAAAGCACTGAGCAATAATGGGGGTGGGAGCAGGGCCATCTTATCCAGGATCCATCCACACCCTCTCAAAGCCCCTGAATGGGTCACTCACACCCTATAGAGACCCACCACACCCAACCTCGCTCTTTGCCCTGAGCCTGATGAAAGGAAGCCAGCTGTTCTGTCCTCATGAGCCCACATGGGCAGGAGAGAGGACTCCCAGAGTGCCACTGACATGTGGAGAAGGCGTCCACAGGCCGAGGAGGCTCACACAGCCCAGAGCCCAGTGGACATGAAGGCTCTGCCCTCAGAGCCTCCCCAGGGCTGGTGCCCAGGGCTGTCTGAATGCATCCTAATCAGCACAGCCGCTCACTGACCATGCAAGATGACCACATCACAGACCTGAAAAGCAGCCCAAAAACGATGGGCAAGGAAAGCCGCCTGACAGGCAGCAGAGAGCGGGCAGGCGGAGGGGACGCTGCGGTCACCCACAGGAGTGATGCCATCTCAAACAGGCAGCTGAGAGCGGAAGGTAAAACCCAGGCCAGGCCCCTCTCATGATGTTTGCTCAAGGAAGGGCACGCTCTATGACATTAGCCTGCACTGCAGTAACTGACGTTTATACAGCATTCTACAGTTTATTAAAAAGTATGTCATGAAGTATTAGGATGCTATATGTGAAAATAAAGACAAGTACTTAAAAAAACACACACACACCTCATGACAACCAGGCACCCTCAGACAACCCGGCTCAGCGAGGCTGTCTGAATGCGTCCACTCACGTAAGGGCACCCTCGGCCCGTGTGACCTCATGCTCTACACTCTGAAACATTTACCCGTGGTCACACGGCGTCGGGGGCCAAGAGGTACGTATCTGCCAGGTGGCTGCTTTCCTACTCTCAGGCCCCTTCACGGCCCCTGCTCCCGAGGAGCAGCCCCTGGACTCCAGTGCACCCAGCCACAGCACGTGCCACGTTGTATGTGGGAGATGTTCAGGCCCCAGTCAGCACCCAGGTCAGCTCCTGTGTGCACAGGCCCCTCACCGCACAGGCGACCTCACCCACCTGGAAGGCCAGAGCCAGGATGCTCCTTGCTGCGGGCACATCCCCTGCCAGCCACTTGGACTTGGCGCCCATGAGCCACAGCACCTCCGCTTTGGGGCAGTGGGCCACAGCCCTCTGTAGGAGGGCTTCCAGGGACTCCCTGCAAGATAGAGGCCACGGTCACCCGAGTCAGGGCCATCAACCAGACACACGTCACACTCAGCCACGGCGTGGGTGCGCCAGAAAGACAGTTGCTGCTCCAAAGTTCGATGCTGTAAATGATTGACCAGATTTTACGATGGGGAGAGTGTGGGGAAATCTTTCCTCTCCATAAAGGTTCTAAAACCAACTACTGAAGAGGGTTCTACAAAGCAATGCATTGTTTAAATAGCAGAGCTGGAGAGAGAACTTCACAAGAGAGCCTTTTACAGCCATGTGTCCTGGAGGCAGCAATAACTTCAGTCTGTGACAGGGGAGGCCTTTTCATCTTGAATCACAGAGGACAAGCGCACCCCGGACCCACTGATAAAGATTATGATCCCAGGTTGACTCTTCCGGCATCCAAAAGAATTATCTTATAGGAAGAAAGTGATTTTAGGTCACTATTGAGCAAAACTGCCAGCCTTGGGCATCAGGTCTGATGCCCCTGGACTCTCCCGTGGCCCACCACCCTCAGTCACATCATCTTGCACCAACGACCCCTTTGGGCCTCAGTGAGTGCAACAGCAAGACAAAGTGAGCACATGATCACACTGTGTGGGGCAAGGGCCACGGCAAAGCAACTGTGCTCTCCAGAGGACCAGCTCCCCAGCACTACGGCCTCGCCTCATCCCTGCAAGCTCATCCCTGTGAGCGTGCACTGGGGAGAAGGCAGGGCAGCAGGAGGGCACTGCCCGCTGTGCCCAGGGGTCAAAGGCAGCAGTTCATATTCAGGTCACAGGCCGAGAGATCTCAGTCTACACCTGGCCCCGCCCTGTTCTTCACTCAGACTGCCCCAGGTGACCTTCTACAGGGGACACCATGAGAGCCATTTCAAAACATCACCAAAGGAGATCACTTCAAAACACCAGACCAGCGGGTGGACATGGGGAGCGGCCAGGGCTTCAGGAGGACACATGCAGAGACACCCTGAAGAGGCTGAGATTAAACCACACCAGAGAAGGAAAGACAATGGCTCAACATTCTCAGCTGTAGACCTAGTGAAACCAGCAGGGCCTGTCCTCACCTGGCACAGGGAGCGTCACCCGAGGACCTGGGAGAGGACGGACAGAGGGTGTGTGGGGACACGAGCCCAATGCCCTTGAGAACTACCCATTTAAAACAATAAACTGCAACGCCAAATATAACCAGCATTTACAGCCAATAGAGCAGACCTGAAAAATGTTTTCAATTAAAGAGTACAGTTAAAGAAAATTGTCAAGGACCTCCTCTGAGCACAAAAACCCGTCAAAACCCAAAGCCGCTCCACTTAAATGGAAAACATGCCTGCCTGAGCCCAGATGCTGCCCCACCCACCGCTGCAGCCAGTGCTCAGCCATGGGCCACGCAGGCTCCAGCCTCAAGTCTACACCCAGGCCACTCCTCAGGCTACAGGCCCAGGCATATGTACGTGTGTAAGCACACACACTTCGCAGGATGGGCCCCCTGGGGTTCCTTAGTTTCTCAACTAGAAAACAGTAACAATCGGCTGGGCGCGGTGGCTCACGCCTGTAATCCCAGCACTTTGGGAGGCTGAGGCGGGCGGATCACGAGGTCAGGAGATCGAGACCATCCTGGTTAACACGGTGAAACCCCGTCTCTACTAAAAATACAAAAAATTAGCCGGGTGTGGTGGCGGGCACCTGTAGTCCCAGCTACTCGGGAGGCTGAGGCGGGAGAATGGCGTGAACCCGGGAGGCGGAGCCTGCAGTGGGCCAAGACTGCGCCACTGCACTCCAGCCTGAGTGACAGAGCAAGACTCCATCTCCAAAAAAAAAAAAAAAAGAAAACAGTAACAATCCTGTCCCAGAAGGGACTATAAAGATGGATCCAGCCGGGCGCAGTGGCTCACGCCTGTAATCCCAGCACTTTGGGAGGCTGAGGCGGGTGGATCACGAGGTCATGAGATCGAGACCATCCTGGCTAACACGGTGAAACCCCATCTCTACTTAAAAAATACAAAGAAATTAGCCAAGCATGATGGCAGGCGCCTGCAGTCCCAGCTACTAGGGAGGCTGAGGCAAGGGAATGGCGTGAACCCGGGAGGCGGAGCTTGCAGTGAGCCGAGATCGCACCACTGCACTCCAGCCTGGGCGACAAAGCGAGACTCTGTCTCAAAAAAAAAAAAAGATGGATCCAGTTGCAAAGTCCCAAGTGCCATAAAATCCTTGATCACGACCAGAGGGCCAGACCTCAAATGGGCACAAGACTGGATGAGCAGAGATGAGAGGTTTACATTCAGGGCTACACAAATGGAACTGGAGGTTTCATTAGCACCCTGGGGCAGGCGGGTCCCACCACTTACCGAGTGCCATGGTTCTTCTCGAAGTACGCGGCACGCAGCCACACACTCTTCTTGCTGGGAAACACCTGCAGGGCGTAGGCGTAGATGGCTCGTGCACACTCCAGGGCATTGTGGGCTACACACTAGAGCAGAGAGACAAACATGAGAATGGGAAGCCCAGCGCTGGCCACAGAGCAAGTGGCCTGATGCCCTCCCCAGCCTCATACGATTCTCAGTGATGACATCTGCTAGAAGGTGTACCACGGTGTTTTATCTAATTAGAACCACAATCCAGGCCAGGTGCCGTGGCTCACGCCTGTAATCCCAGCACTTCTGGAGGCCGAGGTGGGCGGATCATCTGAAGTCGGGAGTTCGAGACCAGTCAGACCTACATGGTGAAACCCCATCTCTACTAAAAATACAAAAATTAGGCCGGGCGCGGTGGCTCAAGCCTGTAATCCCAGCACTTTGGGAGGCCGAGACGGGTGGATCACGAGGTCAGGAGTTCGAGACCATCCTGGCTAACACGGTGAAACCCCGTCTCTACTAAAAAATACAAAAAACTAGCCGGGCGAGGTGGTGGGCGCCTGTAGTCCCGGCTACTCGGGAGGCTGAGGCAGGAGAATGGCGTAAAAACCCGGGAGGCGGAGCTTGCAGTGAGCTGAGATCCGGCCACTGCACTCCACCCTGGGCGACATAGCGAAACTCCGTCTCAAAAAAAAAAAAAAAAAAAAAAAAACAAAAATTAGCCGGACGTGGTGGCATGCACCTGTAATTCCAGCTATTCGGCAGTCTTGAGGCAGGAGATTCGCTTGAACCCGGAAGGCAAAGGTTGCAGTGAGCCGAGATCACACCACTGCACTCCAGCCTGGGTGAGAGTGACACTCTGTCCCCCAACCAGAAAAAAAGTAGAACCACAATCCAGGACTGGGAAACCACACTTCTGGGCACAGAAAACACTGTAGTTCTTACTCCGGCATTACAAGCACTTTGAAAACCAGCTGTCTCACTCCAGTGTATGTGAAAGAGACAAACCTGAGGATGAGGACAAGAACACTGAAAGAGGAGCACATGGGTTTGCCTGCTGGTTTCTTGGCCGGCGAGAGGTGCATGAGTAACTAGCGCAGGTGATGGAGGTGTGCACACACACGCACAGGACTGTGGCTGAGGCATATGCACATATGCCACGCATACACGCACACACAGGGCTGTGGCCCAGGCATATGTACGTGTGCACACGCACACACATGCACACACACGTGTTGTAACTGCAGATCGAACATATATATTTTTTTTATCAGGTGTAGTAGCCAGGCGCAGTGGCTCACGCCTGTAATCCCAGCACCCTGGGAGGCCAAGCCAGGTGGATCACCTGATGTCAGGAGTTCGAGATCAGCCTGACCAACATGGTGAAACCCTGTCTCTACTAAAAATACAAAAATTAGCTGGGCGTGGTGGCGTGTGCCTGTAATCCCAGCTGCTTGGAAGGCTGAGGCATGAAAACTGCTTGAACCCGGGAGGCGGAGGTTGCAGTGTGCCAAGATTGTGTCATTGCACTCCAGCCTGGGTGACAGAGCGAGACCTTGTCTCAAAAAAAAAAAAAATTAGGTATAGTATATATTTACCATGATAAAAAGTTACATTCAGGCCGGGCGTGGTGGCTCAAGCCTGTAATCCCAGCACTTTGGGAGGCCGAGACGGGCGGATCACGAGGTCAGGAGATCGAGACCATCCTGGCTAACATGGTGAAACCCCGTCTCTACTAAAAAATACAAAAAACTAGCCAGGCGAGGTGGCGGGCGCCTGTGGTCCCAGCTACTCAGGAGGCTGAGGCAGGAGAACGGCGTGAACCCGGGAGGTGGAGCTTGCAGTGAGCTGAGATCCGGCCACTGCACTCCAGCCTGGGCGACAGAGCGAGACTCCGTCTCAAAAAAAAAAAAAAAAAAAAAAAAAGAAGTTACATTCATTAGAAACCTGTAAAAGACAAGTGAATATAAAGAGAAAAACCCATCCACTCCAACAGAACTACAGTAAACACAATTCTATTTTCTTCAGGCCTTTTTTCCCCTATACTCAAGAATGACTTTATCTCTTGGCATCAACAACAAAAAATAACAAAAGAGCCAGTCGCCATGTGCAGTGCTAAAGCATCTGGGGGTTCGTCTGACCGGCAGTCACGACACCTGGAGACTCACTGGGCCGGGTGCAGACACCTGTTCCTACTCAGCCTCACACGGGGACAAGTCACCGTCCTCTGCACCCTGCAGATGCTAAAAGGATTTTTCTTTTTTAAGACAGTCTCGCTTTATCGCCCAGGCTGGAGGGCAGTGGCGTGATCTCGGCTCCCTGAAACCTCCACCTCCTGGGTTCAAGTGATTCTCCTGCCTCAGCCTCCCGAGTAGCTGGGATTACAGGCGCCGCCACCACACCCAGCTAATTTCTGTATTTTTAGTAGAGACGAGGTTTCACCATGTTGGCCAGGATGGTCTGGAACTCCTAATCTCAAGTGATCCACCCACCTCAGCCTCCCAAAAGTGCTGGGATTCCAGGCATGAGCCACCGTGCCTGGCCGCAGAAAGGATTCTTGTACCAAGAACAAGTTTGTTGCTGAAGGTGAGTGAGAGGCCCCCAGAAAGCGGGTCAGGAACAAAGTTTTGCAACTGTGAACACGACAGCGGGGAAGATCTGGACGGGCAGCTCACAGCTGTCCAGGTCCCACACGGGGCACCCAAGAACAGTTCCCAGAGGAACAGCCGCGTTCTGGGGGGAGGGACAACCGGGAGCCTCCCAGTGCGAAGGACGCCCAGCATGAAAACGGGCGAGGAGAAAGAAAAGGAGGGGATGTCACTGAGATTTCTTCACTCAGACCTGCTGCCTCCCAGGACGCCCAGCATGAAAACGGGCGAGGAGAAAGAAAAGGAGGGGATGTCACTGAGATTTCTTCACTCAGACCTGCTGCCTCCCAGGTCACATGGCTTCAGTCTGACTCAACCAGCACAGAAACCAGCAAGGGCCCTGCCTCGGGCACTGTGTCCTGACCAGGAGCATCTGAGGGGGTCAGGGAGGGTGCCAGTGAGGGTCAGGCCCTGGATAGAGCACTCTGGTCTATGCCCCTCTGTGATTTCTGATCCAAGTCCTGAGGGTTGGTGACAAAGCATTTCAGACTCTCCACTGCCTCCTCTGACCTTCACAAGCAACCCGAGAGTGGCCTGAACACCCACAGGGTCAAGTGATGCCATGCCCAGGGCCCTGGTGTCCGGGACGGAAGCAGCACTATAGCTCACTTCTGGGCACAGAAACACTGTCCGCCATACCCCAGCACGACGAGCACTTTGAAAAACAACTGTGCTTACTCCAGTGTATGTGAAGGAGACGACAAAATGAGAAGAGAAAATCAGGCTGGGAGCAGTGGCTCACACCTGTAATCCCAGCACTTTGGGAGGCTAAGGCAAGTGGATGGTCTGAGGTCAGGAGTTCCAGACCAGCCTGGCCAACATGGCGAAACCTCGTCTCTATAAAAAATACAAAAATTAGCCGGCTGTGGTGGCAGACGCCTGTAGTCCCAGCTACTCAGGAGGCTGAGGCAAGAGAATTGCTTGAACCCCTGAACTGGTAGGTGGAGGTTGCAGTGAGCCAAGATCGTGCCATCGGACTCCAGCCTGGGCGACAGAGTGAAGACTCCATCTTAAAAAAAACAAAAACAATGATGACGACAACAAAAACGTTACCGCTGCCCTGCGTCTTAACTCACCTAAGGACCGATGTGTGTATTTTAGCACACATGGGGCGGGAGGATGGCCCAGCCAGCACACAAGCTCTGGGTCGTGCCACACGGGGTGCAAAGGAACCATGTGTGTATCACACAGACAATGCCAGCAGTGGGGTCTGATCCCAAGGACCAAAGGAGGAGCCACTGGCCAATCCAGATGGAAGGAAGTGAACACACACGGATGAAGGAGAAAGTGAAGCTCTTCATTACTGTAGAATTCCAACTAATAAAATGTAGGAGAAACTGTTCACAAAATCATTATGCGGGTGTGGCCAGGCACAGTGACGTACCCGTAATCCTACACACTTTGGGAGGCTGAGGTGGGATCACTTGAAGCCAGGAGTTCAAAACCGGCCTGGACAACATAGTGAGACACTGTTTCTACAAAAAAAAAAAATTAATATAAAAAAGATTTTTAAAAAAATCACCATTTAGCAAACACCACAGAAATAACTGATTCAGGCCAAGAAGCATCATTAATGGATCCTCAAAATACTTATTAATAACAACAAAGAAACAGCAACCATACAGTGGAAACGCCTGCAGCCACTGCCTGCACCAGAGGGTCGGAGTCGGACAGGTGCACACCGCTCTGTATGATGCACCAAGAGGACCCAACCCAACCCAGAGGGGACACCACAGAGAACCAGATCAAAGAGGAGCCTACAGCATCACTGGCCTGTGGTCCTCAAAAAATTCAGACTCATGAAAACAAAGGCTGAGGCTCTCCCAGACTAGCCAGAGGATGGCCCTGTATTCCCCACAGAACACAGTCGGTTTTTTCTTCTGCTAAAAGGACGCAGAGACAACGGCTGAGCCTTCTTCTTCTTCTGAGATAGGGTCTTGTCATCGCCCAGGCTGAGTGTAGTGGCGCAATCACAGCTCACTGTGGCCTCGAACTCCTGAGCTCAAGTGATCCTCCCACCTCAGCCTCCTGAGAAGCTGGGACTACAGGCCTGCACCACCATGCCTGGCTTTTGTTTCTGTAAAGATGGTGTTCTGCCATGTTGACCAGGGTGGTTTCAAACTCCTGAGCTCAAGTGATCTGCCCATCTTGGCCTCCCAAAGTGCTGGGATTACAGGTGTCAGCCCCGACGCCCAGCCTGCGGGTGAGATTTGAGTAAGGTCTGAAGTTACAGCACTGTCCCAACATTAATTTCCTGATTTTGATAACTGAGCTATGGTTGTGTAACAGAATGTCCTTTTTTAAAGAAATATACACCAAAGTATTTAAAGGTAAAGGGCATCACATCTGCAACTCCTTCATTGTCAAACAGTTCTAGAAAAAAAGTAAGAAGTAAGTGAACAGAATAAGAAAGCAAATGTGCAGCCGGGCGCGGTGGCTCACGCCTGTAATCCCAGCACTTTGGGAGGCCGAGGTGAGCAGATCAAGAGGTCAGGAGATCGAGACCATCCTGGCCAACATGGTGAAACTCCATCTCTACTAAAAATACAAAAAATTAGCTGGGCGTGGTGATGGGCGCCTGTAGTCCGAGCTACTCGGGAGGCTGAGGCAGGAGAATGGTGGAAACCCGGGAGGCGGAGCTTGCAATGAGCTGAGATCACACCACTGCACTCCAGCCTGGGCAACAGAGTGAGACTCCGTCTTCCAAAAAAAAAAAAAAAAACCCACAAAAAAAAACTTAGGTTAACAGAAAGCAAGCTGTATTCCTTATGAGTGCAACCACGTGCAAAACAAGTGTATTTAAAGAGTTTTAAAGGGCCAGGCACCGTGGCTCACACCTGTAACCCGAGCACTTTGGAAGGCCGAGGCGGGTGGATCACAAGGTCAGGAGATCGAGACCATCCTGGCTAACACAGTGAAACCCCGTCTCTACTAAAACCACAAAAAAATTAGACAGGCGTGGTGGCAGGCGCCTGTAGTCCCAGCGACTCGGGAGGCTAAGGCAGGAGAATGGCGTGGACCCAGGAGGTGGAGGTTGCAATTAGCCGAGGTTGCGCCACTGCACTCCAGCCTGGGCGACAGAGCGAGACTCCGCCTCAGAAAAAAAAAAAAAAGGTTTTAAAATTGCCTAGTAGTTATAAAGTGCCTGCTGTTCCCACAAGCAGAGACTCCATATTGCGGACAAAGGCTCCTGTTGCCAACTCACACTGTCGGCATCCTCCATCCAGGTGTGCTTCCGATCTTCCTCCTCAATCCCAATCCCAATCACGGCACGCATGACAGCCTGGCAGGTGGCCACACTCCCAGCCCTGTCACATTCCTCGGCATCCTGAAAGAGCAACACAAAAGTTACTTTTGATTTTGGAAATCAGAGTTGCAGATTCCCAATAGGAAGCACGGCATTCCTGAATGGTTAAAACTGACAGACATCAGCACGAGATGCTGACACTGCCTACCAGGGATCTGAGGAAGTGAGTCTATCGCACACCAATCAGAGAAAACAACAGAGAAACGTCACAAAGGACATAGGCACACTGTTCACTAGAAAATAAAAATACAAACAACTTTTAAACATGTGAAAAGAAATGTAAAGCCTTATTATTATTATTTTTTAAGAGACAAGGTCTCAGCCGGGTGCGGTGGCTCACATCTGTAATCCCAGCACTTTGGGAGGCCAAGGAGGGTGGATTACGAGATCAGGAGTTCGAGACCCGCCTGGCCAACCTGGTGAAACCCTGTCTCTACTAAAAAGAAAAATACAAAAATTAGTCAGGCATGGTGGTGGGCGCCCATAATCCCAGCTTACTCGGGAGGCTGAGGCAGGAGAATCACTTGAACCCGGGAGGCAGAGATTGCAGTAAGCCAAGATCGCGCCACTGCACTCCAGCCTGGGCAACGGAGCAACACTACGTCTTGGGAAAAAAAAAAGAGAGAAAGAGTCAAGGTCTCCCCCTGTGACTCAGGCTGAAATGCTGTGATACAATCATAGCTCACTGCAGCTTCAAACTCCCAGGCAAAAGGGATCTTCCCACCTCAGCCTCCGAGGAGCACAGTCATGCAGCACCATGGCCCACGCCCACGGTTACATTGTTTTTTGTAGATACAGGGTTTCCTTATGTTGCCCAGGCTGGTCTTAAACTCCTGGTCTCAAGTAATCCTCCAGCGTTAGCCTCCCAAAGTGCTGGGATTAATGCATAAACCACCACACCCAGTCCCCATTCTTATTTTCAAGATGCTAATTAAACTATTCTAAGTACCATTTTGCACGTATCAGACGACCAACATTGAAACATTTGCTGACTGGCTCACTTGGTGAAGGTGGACCTAAATCTTACACTACAAAGAAGCACATGTCTCTACAGAGGGCAATTTCTCATTCTCTATCAAAATAAAACAGGCACATACTGGACCCAGCAGTTCGACTTCAAGGCATTCATGTGACCAATATATTCCCATGTGTGCAAGACAATGTGTCTACCAACAAGAGACCGATAAGCCAGCTAGAGCAACAGGGTGCAGGAGCACAGGCACCACTGTGGCACGCCAACCTGGGGGACCACGACATGAGCGAGCGAAGTGCGACAGGAACCACACGCCTCCAGACCTCCCCCGAGCCCCGCCAGCACCAGAAAACCATCCCAGACAGAAAGCAGAGCCAAGAGCAAGGATCTGAGGCAGGGACGCTGTCAAGAAGGTCAGTGCTGAGAAGAACACATGGGGCAAGGACCCAGCACCCAGACCCCCAGGGCCTGCAGCAAAGGTGCTGGCTCCTCCTCCATGTACAGTTTCTAGTGAACGCAAACTGCTTCTGAACCACTGTCAAGTCAAACCATGGGAAGTCAGGGACCATCTGTATTTGCAAATTGTGTATCCAATAAGTGACTATATCCAGAATATATAAAAACATCTCTTACAACTCAATAATAAAACAACAGACAAAAATAATACATAGACAATAATAAAGACACAATCCAATTTAAAAGTAGGCAAGGGATTTCAATACCTCCATGCTACAACATGGATGAACCCTGAAAACACACTAAGTTAAGGCCAGTCACAAAAGACCACATGTCGTGTGATTCCACTCACAGGTGGCCTCAGTGTGGGACGATGTAAAAGCCACACACACTCAGTAGAAGCAATACTTAGACTCAAACCACCACCCTGTTTTTCACTTTCATCGCAGCATTCAATAAATTACATGAGTTATTCAACACTTTATGTTCAATGACTTTGCCCAACTGTAGGCTAAGGTAGGTGTTCTGAGTATGTTTAACCCAGTAGATAGGCTAAGCCACAAAGTATAGCAGGTTAGGTGTATCACACACATTTTTATTTTATTTTATTTTATTTATTTTTTGAGACAGTCTCGCTCTGTCGCCTAGGCTGGAGTACAGTGTTACGATCTCGGCTTACTGCAACCTCTGCGTCCACCGAGTTCAAGCGATTCTCCTGCCTCAGCCTCCTGAGTAGCTGGGATTACAGGTGCCCACCATCATGCCTGGCTAATTTTTTTGTATTTTTAGTAGAGACAGGGTTTCACCATGTTGGCCAGGCTGGTCTCAAACTCCTGACCTCAAGTGATCCGCCTGCCTCAGCCCTGCAATGTGCTAAGATTATAGGTGTGAGCCACAGCACCCAGCCTCAAACGCATTTTAGACTTACGATATTTTCAACTTACAATGGGTTTATCAGGATATAAGCCCATAAGTTGAACATCTGTATATAAAATGTCCAGAAACAAAACGTATAGACAAAGTAAAAAAGCAAGGTTAGACAGGCACAGTGGCTCACACTTGTAATCCCAGCATTTTGGGAGGCCGAGGCAGGTGGATCATCTGAGCTCAGGAGTTTGAGACCAGCCCGAACAACATGGCGAAACCACGTCTCTACAAAAGACAGAAAAAAATTAGCCAAGTGTGGTGGTGCACACCTGTAGTCCCAGCTACTCAGGAGGCTGAGGCAGAACTGCTTGAGCCCAGGAAGCAAATGTGGCAGAGAGCCAAGACTGATTGTCCCACACACTCCAGCCTGGGAGACAGACAGACCCTGTCTCAGAAAACAAACAAACAAACAAAAGGCTACAGAGGTGAGTAAACGGGGAGCAACAACTCACGGACACAGGACTTCTTTCTGGGGTGATGAGAACGTTCTAAGATTGTGGTGACAGATGGACAGCTCTGTAAATATACTAAACACCACTGAATTGTAAACTTTCAATGGGTGGATTCTATAGAACGCTAATCATAGCTTAATAAACTGTCACAGGCTGGGCATGGCAGCTGATGCCCGTAATCTCAACACTTTAGGAGACTGAAGTGGTAGGATCCCTGAAGGCCAGGAGTTTAAGACCAGCCTGGGCAGCATAACAAGACAAAAAATAAAAATTAAAAAATTGGCCAAGCATGGTAGCACATGCCTGTAGTTCCAGCCACTTGAGAGGTTAAGGCGGGAAGATCGCTTGAGCCCAGGAGATCAAGGATGCAGTGAGCCATGAATGCACCACTGCACTCCGGCCTGAGCAACACGGCAAGACCCTGTCTCCTTAAAAAAAAAAAAAAAGAACTAAAAAAAAAAAAAAAAAGAAGGAAAGGAATGAAGGAAGGAAGGAAGGGAAGGAGGAAGGAAGGACTGTCATAAAATAAAACAGAAATAATAATTTCATTATTTATTTTTCTGGAGAGAAACATAACTCAGAGGGTGACTCCTAAAAAGAAGGTAATAAAGGGAACCCAAGTCTTACTTCCTGAGTTAGATGACCTCTGGAGACTTTTCTATAGCCTTAAGTCTAGAGACACAGTTAAAAGACAGGGAAAACCAAGGCGGGCAGATTGCTTGAGGTTAGGAGTTCGAGACAAACCTGGCCAACATGGTGAAACCTTGTCTCTACTAAAAATACAAAAATTAGCTGGGCATGGTGGCAGGTGCCTATAATCCCAGCTACTCAGGTGGCTGAGGTAGGAGAATTGAACCCAGGAGGTGGAGGTTGCAGTGAGCCAAGATCACGCCACTGCACTCTAGCCTGGGTGACAGAGCGAGACTCCCTCTCAAAAAAAAAAAAAAAAAAAGGGTGTTGGCCCGGTGCGGTGGCTCAGGCCTGTAATCCCAGCACTCTGGGAGGCCAAGGTGGGCGGATCACGAGGTCAGGAGATCAAGACCATCCTGGCTAATACGGTGAAACCCCATCTCTACTAAAAATACAAAAAATTAGCCAGGCATGGTGGCGGACACCTGTAGTCCCAGCTACTCGGGAGGCTGAGGCAGGAGAATGGTGTGAACCCGGGAGGCGGAGCTTGCAGTGAGCCAAGGTGGCCACTGCACTCCAGCCTGGGTGACGAGCGAGACTCGATCTCAAAAAAAAAGGGTGTGGGGGAGAGGGGAAGAGTGGAAGAAGCCATGAGACTCTCAGATGTATCATTTCTACTAGCAAAGAAATGCAGTCAGGTGTGCACACACTGAAAGGGCTTCCGAAGCATTCACCCCAAGACGAACTCAAGGCCTGAATCCATCAAGAGTGACAGTGGCCTTGCCCAGGTCGCTCAGGGCCCAGCCACACCTGTGCCTGCTTCCGGTTGGGCGCAGGACTCCCCAGCACCATTCAGCAGCCCCCAGTCCTGCGTGGGACTCCCACGTGCGGCACGTACACTGTTAAAGCCGACACCACGACACCCGCCTGCGGCCCACCTGGATCCACTGCTCGCGGTTGATCTCCACACCGTTGGCCCGCAGCGAGGTGATGGCTCGGTCAATGATCTTCTCCACCATCTGTGTGTTCCCATTGGCTTCCTCCAGCTTAGCGGCCGTGATCCAGATGTGCCGGTCTGTAGGAATGTTCTCTCGCGCCTTGTTCAAGACCTTGCGGGCATTTTCATAGGTCTCCAGCCTTGCCAGAGCAAGCCAGAGCTACGCGGAGAGGACACCAGAAAAAGGAGAGGACACTGTGCTGAGGGGACAGATGCAGGCCAGACAGCGACCCACCCTGCAGCACGGCCACAACGCTCTTTCTTAGCTCTCGAGAGCCATTTGAACACGGCCTGAGAAGCGTCCACAGCAGCACATCTCACCTGACCAACTGCTCACTGATGCTTCTGACTGACTTAGTGACTCTGGTGAGCAGGAAAAGATTCTCAGTGGAATGTTCACAAACAAACAAACAAAAAAACATGTCTCCACAAACAAACATGTCTCCACAAACAAACATGTCTCCACAAACACTGCTTCCACAAACAAACACTGCCTCCACAAACAAACACTGCCTCCACAAACAAACACTGCCTCCACAAACATGCCTCCACAAACATGCCTCCACAAACACTGCCTCCACAAACAAACACTGCTTCCACAAACAAACACTGCCTCCACAAACAAACACTGACTCCACAAACATGCCTCCACAAACACTGCCTCCACAAACAAACACTGCCTCCACAAACAAACACTGACTCCACAAACATGCCTCCACAAACACTGCCTCCACAAACACTGCCTCCACAAACAAACACTGCCTCCAGGCACACAGAGCGCCAGACCTGATACCAGGGGCTGGCACAGATGGGCAGGATGAGGCTACTGCCCTCATGGGCTAAACACACGGAAGGGTGTTCAGCCTCCTGGAGTTCCCAGACTCTTGGCTCTGCAGCACTCCATCCCTAAGATGTGTATGGGCTTTATTCATTTTTATGTAAATAAAACAAGATTAATGTTGTTTGGAGAATTTCACAATACCCCTTAGGATAATTGAAGACATACTAGGTATCATAAAACCAAGACTAAAAATCACTGCACAGAATGCTGTGAACTGGAATGCCTAAAACCAAAGAAATCCCACTTAGCTTGGAGGCAAAGAGCAGTCACGCGGGGCTGGCAGAAAGCAGTGTTTTCTATCACCCTCCCACCTTCGGCTCCCATGACAAACTCTGGGCTGAAGGAGAGGAAATGGTGCCTGAGAGAACTTTCTGCAGTGGTCAGGTACGAGCTAAGATTCTCTCTGCACTTCCATTAACAGCAAAACTAGCGGAAGCCTCTCACCACCCTGCCTGGCAGCTGTGCACAGAACGGTATCCTGGGGCTCCGGACGGCCTTCTGCTCCCAGAAAGCGCAGCCTGAGTGAGCTCAATGCTCCACTTACATCATCACTTCCAGACACAGAACCTGGGCTCGGGCCTTGGCCACTCTGGGCTCTGGTGGCCCTGAGTCCGCCAGACTCACCTCCACACTGGTGGGGCAGCACTCCACAGCCCGACTCAGCATGATTCTGGCATCTTCAGGCTCTTCCAGCTCAACAGCTGCTTTCCACAAGCGAACCGAGTTTGGAACATGCTCGAGGGCTAGGAAAGGTCAAAGGAGAAACCACGTTACAGAAAAGGAGACAAAAGCAGGAGGCTCATGTGGTGAGCATGCTGCTGGTCAGGGTGAGATGGACTTCCCCGGTGACAGTCAGGGACCACACACCTGCCCTTTAAGTGGCTTCCTTCAGTTCTGGGGCAGACACAAACAAGGACAAACAGAGCATCTTGTGGTAGCAGAAAGCAAGGAAGTGACTGAAGACTGCCGGGGTCACATCAACAGGACTCAGGAAACCAGCAACGACGGGAATGAACCTCAAAAACATGCTGAACAACAAAAGAAACCAGTCCCAAAAGAGTTTAGACTGTACGACTCCCTTTATGTGACGTTTGAAAACAGGCAAAACTCATCTTGGTAAATAAGTCAGAAGCATGACTGCCAACAAATGGGGACAGTGCACTGACTGAGAGGCACCAGGGGACTTTCTTGGGGGATGGAAATGTTTTTGTTTTTGTTTTGAGACATAGTCTCATTCTATTGCCCAGGCTGGAGTGCAATGGCACGATCTCAGCTCACTGCAACCTCTGCTTCCTGGGTTCAAGTGATTCTCCTGTCTCAGCCTCCCAAATAGCTGGGACTATAGGTGTGCACCACCATGGCCGGCTAATTTTTGTATATTTAGTGGAGATGGGGTTTCACCATATTGGCCAGGCTGGTCTCAAACTCCTGATCTCAAGTGATCCACCTGCCTCAGCCTCCCAAAGTGCTGGAATTACAGGTGGGGCCACGGCGCCCACCCTGGAAATGCTCTATGCCTTGGCCGAGTGTGGGTTATATGGGTGTATGCACTTGTGAAGACATCAACTGCACACTTAAGATCTACGTAATTCACTTCAGATATTTAGGGGAAAAAAATGCCAGTTCAGATATTTAGGAAAAAATGCCAGTGTCTGAAATACCTCTTTTTTTTTTTTCTGAGATGGAATCTCGCTCTGTCACCAGGCTGGAGTGCAGTGGCATGATCTCGGCTCACTGCAACCTCTGTCACCCGGGTTCAAGTGATTCTCCTGCCTCAGCCTCCCAAGTAGCTGGGAGTATAGGCATGTGGCCACCACGCCCAGCTAACTTTTGAAATTTTAGTAGAGACAGGGTTTCACCATGTCGGCCAGGATGGTTTCAATCTCTTGACCTCGTGATCCACCCGCCTCGGCCTCCCAAAGTGCTGGGATTACAGGCATGAGCCACCACGCCCAACCTGAAATACCTCATTATTATATGTTTTGCCTTAAATAAAAATACTTAAAACTTAAAAAAAATTCAAGATCAAACTAGAAGAGACTCCCACTGGACAATGATCGGAGAGTCTGAAGGTCAATAAGAATATTAAGAATATTACCTGCAATGTATTCGAATCCATGAAATACAACAGCATTCAAAGTTCATAACAAAGCTCAAAGAGACCATTAGTCACCTTTGGAGAATGCTAGAGAACGAAATCATCATCCCGAAAGTTGAAAGGAGAGCAAATCAAGTATCTATTCTGTCTTTTCCAAATAAACACAGAATAACCAAATCATGGATATAGGAAAGTTCTTCTCTTTAGAATAATTCTGGCAATAAAAACAAAAAGGGTGACCTAATTGTAATGTCACCGTTTTGCACACCCTAACGAAGTCACAGATGCGGGCACAGGTCACCAGTCACTGCCAAAGGCAGGAGTTGAAAGGCTGTGGAGAACCCCATGAAGGACACTGGGGCACTGAGCCGTGACAGCCTCTGCAGCTCCTGACGCTGCTTGCATTGCCACGAATGCTTCCTTGGTTTAAAAAAAAAAAAAAAAAGGAAAAAAAACAAAAGCAAAAACAAAGCTTACTCTTACAAGTCTCCAAATCTACCTTCCAATTTACAAGAGGATACAGGAAACAGAGGATACAGGAAACAGAGGATATAGGAAACGAGGCCACCGGAAACAGTCTCATGGCTGCAGTGAGCAAACCCCAACGTGAGGAATCTCAAGGAAAAACCCAATTCCATCAACAAACCCAGAAAAGACATCAACCAAACTCAATGTTTACACTGTGCTTAGATGCTGACTCAAACCAACCGTGTGTGCATGTGGTTATGTGTGCGTGTGTCTGTGGCAGGTACTGACATGACAGCTGGAAAAATATGAATGCTGTAGACATTTAACGATGTTAAGAAATTAGGCCAGGCTGAGTGCGGCCTGTAGCTCATGCCTGTACTCCCAGCATTTTGGGAGGCCAAGGTGGGCAAATCACCTGAGGTCAGGAGTTCGAGACCAGCCTGATCAACATAGTGAAACACTGTCTCTACTAAAAATATAAAATTAGGAAGGTATGGTGGCATGCACCTGTAATCCCAGCTATTGGGGAGGCTGAGGCAGGAGTATTGCTTGAACCCAGGAGAATTGCAGTGAGCTGAGACTGCCACTGCACTCTAGCCTAGGTGACAGAGAGAGACTCCAACTCAAAAAAAAAAAAAAAAAAGAAGAAAAGAAATTAGGCCAGGCAGCTGACTGTGGTGGCTCACACCTGTAATCCCAGCATTTTGGGAGGCTGAGGTGGGAGGATCACTTGAGCCCAGGAGTTCGAGACTAGCCTGGACAACATGGCAAAACCTTATCTCTACAAAATACAGCTGGGCGTGGTGGCATGTACTTGCGGTCCCAGCTAGCTGGGTGGCAGAGATGGGAGGACTGCTTGAGCCCAGGAGGTGGAGGTTGCAGTGAGCCAAAACTGTACCACTGAACTCCAGCTCCAGCCTAGGCGAAAGAGGGAGACCCGGTCTCAAAAAAAAAGAGGAAAAGGGCAGGCAGGGGAGTGGAGGGGAGGAGGGAAGAGGAGGAGGGGAGGGAAGGGGGCAAGCGAGCGAGCTACGCGGTCCTGTAGGTACCTGCTCTACCTGCTGAGAAATAGCCCCAGGCTGGCTGTGAGGCCCTGGCAGGGCCAGCTCAGGGACACAGAAACGACTGAGCGACCTGCTGCCCGCTCCGGGTGTTACTGACAGACCAAGCCACAAGGTTGGGCAGATGCAGCAGTGGCCTCATAGGGTAGAAATGGCACCCGGGAGATGCAGTGGAAGGAGGCAGGTGCAGCACAGCTGCCTAAGCCACGGGGCAGACGCCCCCTCCACTGGTGGCTGCTCAACTGCTTTCCTCCCTCAGCCCACACTTACAACCTCTGAGGAGTTCCTTAGGATCAAGGGACTGAGAAGGCAAAAGTCTGTTGTGGTTTACACATGGTTCTGCACAGCACACTGGCACTGACACCCCTGGCCTTATCATCTGGACGTCCGCTTGACCAACTGACGGGCGGCCAGAAGACGAAGCTATGTGGATTCACTGACTCAGGCAGAACAGTCTTCCCATGTGCCCATCACTCAGAGCCACGGCCTGGCAGCCCAGCAGGATGCCACAAATGCTGTGAATAGACCCCAATCCCAGCTGGATCTCACAGCCAGAACACACGGGTCTAGGAATAAGCAGTGATGTCTGAACGGCTCTGAGGCCACAAGTCCTGTCTCTGCCTCTTTGGACCCTCCTGTCAAGAGAGCTAGTCCAAAGGCCGAGCGCGGTGGCTCACACTTCTAATCCCAGCACTTTGGGAGGCCGAGGCAGGTGGATCATGAGGTCAGGAGTTCGAGACCAGCCTGGCCAACACAGTGAAACCAAACCCCGTCTCTACTAAAAATACAAAAGTAGTTGGGTGTGGTGGCAGGCACCTGTAATCCCAGCTACTTGGGAGGCAGGAGAATTCCTTGAACCCGGAAAGCGAAGGTTGCAGTGAGCCGAGATCGCGCCGCTGCACTCTAGCCTGGGCAACAGAATGAGACTCAGTCTCAAAAAAAAAAAAAAAAAAGAGAGCGAGCAAGCGAGCGAGCTAGTCCAAAGGGAGTATGTGCCAACCAGGGTGCAGGTCACAGCTCCCTCTGGCCTCCTCATGTACCAGCCCTGGCTGGAGAGGTTCACCCTGACTCCCAAAGCGAGACTGAGTTGCTGCCACCCACTGGGGGAGACTATCTAGAGGCCGGTCCTGAGTACAGTTTAGTATTTCTGCTTCTACCAGTAAAAGTTAATGGGAACTACAGTCGCCAAAAAAGCAAAACTACCAACAAGTCAGACCCTTTGGGGATAAAGATTTGGGTCCTGGCTGGGCACAGTGGCCCACATCTGCAGTGCCAGCATTTTGGGAGACTGAGGTGGGAGGATCACCTGAGTCCAGGAGTTTAAAACCAGCCTGGACAATATAGGGAGACCTCGTCTCTACGAAAAATTAAAAACTTAGCCAGGCATAGTGGTGTGTCCCTGAAGTCCCAGCTACTCAGGAGGCTGAGACTGGAGGATAGTTTGAGTCTGGGAGGTTGAGGCTCCAGTGACCCTATGATCATGCCACTGCACTCCAGCCCAGGCAACAGAGCGAGAGCCTGTCTCAAAATAAAAATTATCTGGGCACGGTGGTATGCGCTGTGGTCCCAGCTACTCAAGAGCCGGAAGCAGGAGGATCACTAGAGCCCAGGAGCTTGAGGCTGCAGTGAGCTGATTGCAACACAGCTCTCCAGCCTGGACAATAGGAGGAGGCTCTGCCTAAAAACAAAAAGATTCGGGTTACTCATCCAGGTCAAGAACCCTGACTGAGTAGGGTGATAGCAGAGGGCACAGCAGTAAATAAAGCCCGCCCCATCCTCCAGCCAGGCGACGAGGCACAGACAGAAGACACGGAGCGACACAGCTGCTTTTCCTGCGTGCTCTCGCCTCTCCTGCATGGGAGACGAGTGCTTTATTTGTCCAAATATGAACTACTTCCCTTAGTACTTTGTACATTGGTGGAGATGAACTTCGTGTCTCTAAAGAACAGTATATTCATGTGGGACTCAATGTATGGAGTCATTAACTTACGACTCCCAGGACTCTGTGTCTTCAGGTTTTGGGAGAGAGCTGACCTATCTCCAACGGCATCTCATCAGCAGCCCACAGGCATGGCACCAAAGCCAACAAGGCCACCTTCCCCAGGTGCTTCAGAAGCCACACAGCACACCACGTTACAATGGCCTCCAAGGAGTGTGACTTTATGAGCAGAAGGGGAGGAAGCCAGCCAACGTATGTGAAGGAAGCACACACCCCTGAAGTTGGCCTAGAACAGGAAAAGAGTATTCTGAAGGCTAGACAAAGCCGTGAAGATGTGACTGTGCAGAGGCCAACATGCTCTCCGGGGGCCACGTGACCGCAGGGAAGCCCCCCCCCGCCCTGAACTGTGCCGTTCCTGTGCCCCCAGAAGGACACGCTGGTGATGGCTGCTGAAGGATGCCACGCTTCACAGGCCAGAGCGTACGGCTTAGTGTAAAATGACTCCACTTCCACACATCTGCATTAACTAGCGGAGTACACGGCACGTGAGCTGCGTTATTGTAGGGGAGCCGCCATCCGGGTCTCCCCAAGGGACTCTGCACATGGGACACCCTACCCTGGCCAGTAAGCTCACAGGCTGCACTCTCCCCAATCCTGAAAGCCCTCTTCCCTTTTACAGAGGACGACATGGAAGCTCAGGGGCCAAGCACCATGCCTAAGGTTACTCAGCCTCCTCAGGTCTCAAGACCAGCACCCGAAACGCCTGTTCTCCCAACAAAGGACTAAGGTGACAGCTCAGCCCAACAGCGACCCAGAGCTCACGGAGACGATGCACTGCCAGGCTCCCTGGCTGGCAGGCATCCTAAGTCACCGGTGGAGGTAGCTGTCATCTTAATTTCAAAAACCAGACCCTTCAAGCAACGTTTAAGTGTTCGCTGACAACCAAATGAAGCAGTGCTGGGCTTTACCCCAGGAAAAGAACCCAGTTTTTAGAAATATTCTTGGGAAAGGGCAGGCCAGGACGAGTATTAGGGGCAGCAGCAAAGGCCATCCTAGAGATCCTGGGTTCATTCCACCTTAGCACAGCTTCTCTGCCTGAGAGAGCAGAGCCAGGAGGCCACTCCCTGAGAGGATGGCCGTGGAAACACAGTCCCTCAATACTCCCCGAAGGCCCCCACCTCCAAGAGCATACGCATACTCCCATCTCCAAATCCAAACCCACTGGAGACGAACCCAGAACTCCCGTCTCCAAATCCAAACCCACTGGAAACGAACCCAGAACTCCCGTCTCCAAATCCAAACCCACTGGAAACGAACCCAGAACTCCCGTCTCCAAATCCAAACCCACTGGAAACGAACCCGGACAATCTGGTGGTGAGCAGGGAGTGGCCACAAAGACATTCATGATCATTCATCAAATTGTGGCAGGAAGAATTCAATAGAGCTTTTCTAAATAAACAAATTAATTACCCAGACTTTCATGGGCTCTTCATCAAAGAACTATTTCTTCCTAGCTGAAAAAAGATAAACTGATTTCTACAAACCAAGACAGGTGCTAACTTTCTGTTCCTGGCCTCATTATAAGAGGCTGTCTCTGGCCAGGAGCGGTGGCTCAGGCCTGTAATCCCAGCACTCTCGGAGGCCGTGGCGGTGGATCACGAGGTCGGGAGACCAAGACCATCCTGGCTAACACAGTGAAACCCCGTCTCTACTAAAAATACAAAAAAACTAGCCGGGCCTGATTACCCAGGCGTGGTGGCGGCGCCTGTAGTCCCAGCTGCTCAGGAGGCTGAGGCAGGAGAATGGCATGAACCCAGGAGGCAGAGCTTGCAGTGAGCTGAGATCGCGCCACTGCACTCCAGCCTGGGTGACAGAGCGAGACGCTGTCTCAAAAAAAAAAAAAAATTGGGCCAGGCGCAGTGGCTCACGCCTGTAATCCCAGCATTTTGGGAGGCCGAGGTGGGTGGATCACTTGAGGTGTGGTGTTCAAGATCAGCCTGGCCAACATAGAGAAACCCCGTCTCTACTAAAAACACAAAAATTAACCAGGCGTGGTGGCACATGCCTGTAGTCCCAGCTACTCAGAAGGCTGAGGCAAGAGGATCGCTTGAACCCGGGAGGCAGAGGTTGCAGTGAGCCAAGATGGTGCCATTGCACTTCAGACTGGGTGACAAAGTGGGACTTCATCTCAAAAAAAAAAAAGGCTGGGCACAGGGGCTCACGCCTGTAATCCCAGCACTTTGGGAGGCCGAGGCGGGAGGATCACCTGTGGTCAGGAGTTTGAGACCAGCCCAGCCAACATGGGGAAACCCCATCTCTACTAAAAATACAAAAATTGGCTGGGCGTGGAGGCACACACCCGGTATTCCCGGCTACACAGGAGGCTGAGGCAGGAGAATCACTTGAACCCAGGAGGCAGAGGTTGCAGTGAGCCAAGATTGCGCCCCTGTACTCCAGTCTGGGCGACAGAGCAAGACTCTATCTCAAAAAAAAAAAAAAAAAAAATTTGTATAGAAGCCACCCGCATAGGCCAGGCGCAGTGGCTCACGCCTGTAATCCCAGCACTTTAGGAGGCGGAGGCAGGTGGATCACAAGGTCAGGAGATGGAGACCATCCTGGCTAACTCGGTGAAACCCCACTTCTACTAAAAATACAAAAAGAAATTAGCCGGGCGAGGTGGTGGGCGCCTGTAGTCCCAGCTACTGGGGAGGCTGAGACGAGAATGGCGTGAACCTGGGAGGCGGAGCTTGCAGTGAGCTGAGATCACGCCACTGCACTCCAGCCTGGGCGACAGAGCAAGACTCCATCTCAAAGACAACAACCACAACCACAAAAAACAAAACAAAAAAAAAGAAGCCACCTGCACAGATTGGCTTCAGAACAGCCCCCGACCAGCACTTGTTCTGGGCCCAGTTCAACAGCAGCATCTACTGCACGCTTCCAGTGACAAGAGAAACCACAGAAAGAAAAATCAACAAACTGCCCACAAAAGCTCTATCCTAGCAGGAATCCCTGGATGGAGTCAGGTTCCCTGGCAGGGACACCGCCCGCCATCATCTGGCCTGAGCTGACGGCACACGCTGCCTTGGGGGCAGGAGACGCAGCCTTGTCAGCAGCAGGGAGGAGTCCAATCAACGTGGGGCTCCGATGCCTTCTCAGGAGAGAAAGTGAGTAAAACCCACAAAGGGTGTGCACATGCCAGCTGCCGGCTCCGCTCTTCACAGAGACCATCTCCAGAGCCCCAGGACACAGGCTTTGAGCTACTATGGTTCTCACCCTGCAGATGAGGGAAGCCTGGACCACAGAGTGACTGCCCAATGCATCCAAAATCACACACTGGAAAAAGGCAGGAGTGAGGGCTCAACCCCAACATCCCTTCTGGGATGGGAACTCGCCCACCACAGTATCCCTCCCCCATGGGGGTCCAAGGGCAGAGGCAACGCAACCTGAGAAAAGGCCTGAAAAATGTCCCTGGTTCCTTATCCACTCTCACCAAAAGCCTGAGCCAGGAGCAGGAAAGCTGCTGAGAGGAGGGGCCCCAAGGAGGGAGAAAGCAGCACCTCCGAGGGAGGGGCCAGAGACCCCAGGAGCCCCTGCTGGTGGAAGGCACCTCCGAGGGAGGCTCACCTTTCCGAAGAACCCGCTTCTTTGCGCGAATGTCTGTTTCCAGCTCTGCTGCTCTGATGTAAATCCTGACAGACTGTGGGAGATGACGGACAGCTTGGGCTACCACGGCCTTGGCTGTGTCCCCAGGCTGCAACCTGGCTGCTTCCAGCCAGACATCTTCACTCTGCGAGGCAAGAGATAAGATCAATAAGGCTCAGGGCAGGCTGGAAGCCACAACAGGGCAGCAGGCACAGATCTCTAGAGCAGATCCTCGGGCCCCAGATTTTACAAAAGCCAATCAGCTCAGCCTCTAACACACCTGCACCAGGAGTCACCCCCTTATAACACTCGCGGACATGGCTACCATATGTCTGAATGAAGAAAACATAATGGCTGGGTGCAGTGGCTCACGCCTGTAATCCCAGGACTTTGGGAGGCCAAGGCAGGTGGATCATGAGGTCAGGAGTTTGAGACCAGCCTGGCCAACAAGGCAAAACCCTGTCTCTACTGAAAATACAAAAATTAGCCAGGTGTGGTGGCACGTGCCTGCAATCCCAGGTACTCAGGTGGCTGAGGCAGGAGAATCGCTTTAACCTGGGAGGCAGAGGCTGCAGTGAGCCAAGATCATGCCATTGCACTCCAGCCTGGGCAACAGAGCGAGACTTAAAAAAAAAAAAGAACACATAAAACACCACTTGGTTGGCCGGGGCGGTGGCTCAGCCTGTAATCCCAGCACTTTGGGAGGCCGAGACGGGCGGATCACTAGGTCAGGAGATCGAGACCATCCTGGCTAACAGGGTGAAACCCCGTCTCTACTAAAAAAATACAAAAAGCTAGCCGGGCGACGTGGCGGGCGCCTGTAGTCCCAGCTACTCGGGAGGCTGAGGCAGGAGAATGGCGTAAACCCGGGAGGCGGAGCTTGCAGTGAGCTGAGATCCGGCCACTGCACTCCAGCCCGGGGACAGAGCGAGACTCCGTCTCAAAAAAAAAAAAAACAAACACCACTTGGTGAAAAGAGCACGATTTGCCTGCAGGATAACTCCACGGACAAAGCGGAGACTGTGCAACTGCTTGGGTAGTTCTTTTTGCTGTGTTTTTTGAGATGATGTCTCACCCTATCCCCCAGGCTGGAGAGCAGTGGCATCATCTCAGCTCACTGCAACCTCCACCTCCCAATTAGCTGGGATTACAGGCACCTGTCACCACACCTGGCTAACTTTTGTATTTTTAGCAGAGACAGGGTTTTGCCATGTTGGTCAGGCTGGTCTCGAACTCCTGACCTCAGGTGATCCACCCGCCTCAGCCTCCCAAAGTGCTTGAGATTACAGGCGTGAGCCACCATGCTTAGCTGCCATTAGGTGGGTGAAGAGCTGACCAACTGAGCTCTTTATAATGAAGCTTAGCCTGCATTAAACGTGGTGGATTCAGGCGCGGTGGCAGGTGCCTGTGGTCCCAGCTACTCTGGAGGCTGAGACAGGACAATGGCATGAACCCGGGAGGTGGAGCCTGCAGTGAGCCAAGATCGTGCCACTGCACTCCAGCCTGGGTGACAGAGCGTGACTCTGTCTCAAAAAAAAACAAAAAACCAAAAAACAGTGGTGGATTAGCCTTCACTCCACGTGAAAACAAGCAGGAAAAAAACCCTTGGCCGCTTTTCACATGCTCCCCCAGCCTGTCCACTGTCTGTAGTTTCAATACCAAAAGAAAGAGATTTGTTCTAAGGAGTTTACTCCATAGGGGGCCCACAATCATGCAGCCTCCCAGGAAATGCCTCAGCGCAGCTCACCTTGGGCACATCTCTGTCCCCTTCATGATAAGGTTCCGAGCTACTTGTAGCTTCCCAGTGACTTCTTCCAGGCGGGCTGACGCAATCCAGGCTGGCGGGTGATGAGGGTTCGTCTCCCGAACAGACTTGAGGAGCAGTCGTGCCTTCTTGATATCACTACAAGAGGGAGAGTGCACACAGCATCAGGCCATGCTGTCAGGGGTGCACCCGAGACCTAGAAGGAAGGCACCCACCTCCCAGTCGCAATGTAAGAACCATCAGTCCTGATGTCCGAGTTACACAAAACAACTCAGAACGTCAGTGTGCGCTCCTCCAAGCCTGTTCAGCCTCCCTGAGACAAACGCTGAGAACCGAGGTCCAGATGGGGCACGTGGGACACAGCCAGCTGCTTTCCTGCTCAGCACAGGCAGCGACTTGCGGTATCACATGTAACACGTTCAGTGTATGCAATGACTGGATACAGACACATTTCAAATGGAAAACCAAACTACTCCACTTTATATTCTTAGAACAACGTCACATTTTGACTGCATATTGCCCATATAAATCCAAATATCCTAGGTAACTGGAGTCTCCATCCCAGCCCAGCGGTTCTGCGAAGCACTCACTTGATGTCCCCTCCGTGTGTCGGGATCATGGAATTTAAATCCGTCAGGTAGCCTTTGGGGTCAACGACGGTCTGTCCACTCACGGAGTCAGACACCTGTGAGACAGGCCAGGCTGAGTCAGCTGGATGTGACCAGGTGCAAAACGAAGATCTCAGAGGGTCCCTGGAGCCCCTCCCACAATCCTCGGTGAGTAGTCAGGAGAAGAAAGAAAACAACCTTCATCGCACTCAGACAACACCTTGTGATAATAACAAATTTCTTCTGTATGGAAAAAAATCTATATTTATTTTTTTGCGACAAGGTCTCACTCTGTCACCCAAGTAGGAGTGCAGTGGCAATCATAGCTCACTACAGCCTCCAGTTCCAGGGCTCAAGGAATCCCCCTGCCTCAGCCTCCAAAGACTCTGTCTCTACAAAAAACATAATTTTTGGCCAGGTGTGGTGGCTCACACCTGTAATCTCAGCACTTTGGGAGGCCGAGGCGGGTGGATCACAAGGTCAGGAGTTTGAGACAGCCTGGCCAGGATGGTGAAACCCGTCTCTACTAAAAATACAAAAATTAGCCAGACGTAGTGGCACACGCCTATAGTTCCAGCTACTTGGGAAGCTGAGGCAGGAGAATCATTTGAACCTGGGAGGTGGAGGTTGCAGTGAGCCAAGACCGTGACATTGAACTCCAGCCTGGGGACAGAGTGAGACTGTGTCTCAAAACAAAACAAAAAACATGCTGACACACGCTGCACCAAGGATGAACCTTAAGGACATGAGCTAAGTGAAATAAGCCCGTCACAATAAGGTAAATACTGTAAGACTGCAGTCATATGAGGTCCAGAGAGTAGCGAAATTTACAGAAACAGAAAGAATGGTGGATGCCAGGGGCCAGGGAGAAAGGGCATGGGGACTTAGTGTTTAACGGGTACAGAGTTTCAATCTGGGAAGATGAAACAGTTCTGGAGATGAATGGTGATGAGGCTGTATAACAACATGAACATAATTATGTCAATGAAGGTATGTACAGTTAAGAAAGATTAAAATGGTAAATTCAGTGTTACATATATTTTACCACAAAAAATTACTGTGACAGTTTTATTTATTTGAGAGTCTCACTCCGTAATCCAGGTTGGTGTGCAGTGGCACGATCATAGCCCACTGCAGCCTCAAACTCCCTGGCTCAAGCAATCCTCCCACCTCAGCCTCCAAATAGCTGGGACTACAGGCACGCACCACCAGGCCCAGCTATTTTTTTAGTTTTTGTAGAGACGGAGTCTCACCATCACCATGTTGCTCAGGCTGGTCTTGAACTCCTGAGTTCAAGCAATCCTCCTGCCTCGGTCTCTCAAAGTGCTAGGTGGAAGGATCGCCTCAGCCCAGGGAGGTCGAGGCTGTATGTAGTGAGTCGTGATTGCACCCCCTTTTATTTTTATTTTTTTTGAGACAGTCTCACTCTGTTGCCCAGGCTGGAGTGCACTGGTGCAATCTCAGCTCACTGCAACTTCCAGCATCCGGGTTCAAGCGATTCTCCTGCCTTAGCCTCCCGAGTAACTGGGATTACAGGCACCCGCCACCACACTTGGCCAATTTCTGTATTTTTAGTAGAGACAGGGTTTCACCATGTTGGCCAGGCCAAAAGTAGTATGTATGTTCCTTCACGGTTTCTGATGTGCATATCAGAAAGATATGTACTTCACTGGTGTCTAGAGCACCCAATCTCCAGATCAAAGTACACGTTCCATGCAGGGCCACAAGACAATTTACTGAGGGGCAGGAAGAAAACACATTTCTAAAAAAATCATTATTTTATATTTTTTAAAAAGCCCAGGTGCAGTGGCTCACACCTATAATCCCAGCATTCTGGGAGGCCGAGGCAGACAGATTACCTGAGGTCAGGAGTTTGAGAACAACCTGGCCAACATGGTGAAACCCTGTCTCTACAAAAATACAAAAATTAGCCGGGTATGGTGGTGTGCACCTGTAATCCAGCTACTCAGGAGGCTGAGGTAGGAGAATCGCTTGAACCCGGGAGGTGGAGGTTGCAGCGAGCCAAGATCATGCCATTGCACTCCAGCCTCTGGGTGACAGAGCAAGACTGTCTCAAAATTAAAAAAATTTTTTAAATCTGCAGAATTATTCAGGCAAAATCAAGCCAAAAAAAAAAAAGAAGAAGGAGAAGAAGAAAACAAAACAAAATAAAAATATCTAAACCTGTCTACAGGAAAATGCTGCGTGACAAACTCACCTGGCTCAGCCTCATGTCCATCAGAGTGTTCCTGGCTTGGCCAATCTTCCTCATGTCCAGCTCACCGGTGCCAGGTGTCATCAATCCTGGTGTCATTCCACTGGGTATGGAGTGTTTAGTCCACCTGGATAGGGTGTGTTAAGACCTCCAAATTGCTGGAGGAGAAGAGAGGAAAGGGAAGAATAAAACAACAGTTTGCATTTTATTTTTTTTGAGGCGGAGTCTCGCTCTGTTGCCCAGGCTGGAGTGCAGTGGCGCGATCTCGGCTCACTGCAAGCTCCGCCTCCCAGGTTCACGCCATTCTCCTGCCTCAGCCTCGGAGTAGCGGGACTACATGCGCCTGCCACCACGCCGGGCTAATTTTTTGTATTTTTTAGCAGAGACGGGGTTTCACCGTGTTAGCCAGGATGGTCTCGATCTCCTGACCTCGTGATCCGCCCGCCTCGGCCTCCCAAAGTGCTGGGATTACAGGCGTGAGCCACCGCGCCCGGCCAACAGTTTGCATTTCATGCCAAAGAAATTTATTCTCTGAAATACTTCCCCAGTTGCCTGACATACGCACAGCTGTGCGGACAGACTCGGCCACAGCATAGCCATGACCTGCAGAAGCACCGAATCCAACACAACCACCACTCCTGCCACTGATCTAACAAGACAAAACGGGCCACACGCGCCCTTTTTCTGCAGGCTCACAGTCTGTCGGGGATCCACTGAGGTATGGTTCTCTCCGGTCTGTAAATGTTTGGCAAAGAAGCTGTCAGGAACCGGGGTCAGCTTCTCATAGCGTGGGTTCCGCTGGCGCTTGTTTCTGGCATCGCCAACCTCAGGGATGCTCAGCCACTCTTCTTCTGTGACTTCCGCCAACTTCCTCTGGAAATGTACAGCCCCCAAAACATTAATTCTCTGACAGAATTTCATGTGCCCAGGTAGGACCATGCTCTCCCTCACCTCTAGCCTCCAGATCATCATGCTTTAGAAAAGATTCGGATGCAGCAATTGCTTTAGTTTGTTTTGAGATGGGTCTTACTCTGTTGCCCAGGCTGGACTCAGTGGCACAATCACAACTCACGGTAGCCTCAACCTCCCAGGCTCAAGTGATCCTCCCACTTCAGCTTCTCAAGGTGCTGGGACCACCAGCACAGGCCGCCACGCCTGGCTACGTTTTTTTTTTTTTTCAGACAGAGTCTCGCTCTGTCGCCCAGGCTGGAGTGCAGTGGCGTGATCTCGGCTCACTGCAAGCTCCGCTCCCGGGTTCACGCATTCTCCTGCTCAGCCTCCCGAGTGGCTGGGACTACAGGTGCCTGCCACCACGCCGGCTAATTTTTGTATTTTTTTTTTTTTGTGAAGACTGGGTTTCACCATGTTAGCCAGGATGGTCTCGATCTCCTGACCTCATGATCCACCCACCTCAGCCTTCCAAAGTGCTGGGATTACAGGCGTGAGCCACCACGCCAGCATACCTGGCTAAGTTTTTATTTTTTGTAAAGACAGGTTCTCCCAAGGCTGGTCTCAAACTCCTGGACTCAAGTGATCCTCCACCTCAGCTTCCCAAGTGCTGAGATTACAGGTGTGAGTCACTGTACCCAGCCCAAAAATAGTTTTCTACTTCACTTAGAAAAATCAATTTATTGGATCTGTTCAACTTCTCTAAAATGTAAATTATTCTCTCAAGCCCAGGGGACACAGTGTAGAAAACCTTACCATAAATGGGGCCAGACGTGTGACTCATGCCTGTAATCCCACACTTTGGGAGGCCGAGGTGGGCAGATCACTAGACGTCAGGAGTTCGAGACCAGCCTGGCACACATGGCAAAACCCTATCTCTCCTAAAAATACAAAATTAGCTGGGAAGGGTGGCAGGAGCCTGTAATCCCAGCTACTTGGGCAGTTGAGGCACGAGAATTGCTTGAACCTGGGAGGTGAATGTTGCAGTGAGCCGAGACCATGCCACTGCACTCCAGCCAGGGCAACAGAGCCAGACTGCCTCAACTAAAAAAAAAAGAAGAGAAAGAAAATCTTATAAATGGAGTTAAAATTACAAAGAAATAAGTTCATTTGTCCTACCTTTTGTGGTAGGGGAAGGGTTTTTTTTTACACACATATAATTAAACATACTGAAGCAAGGACTTTCTTCTAAGCAATGACCCTCTAAACTGAAAAGAGCAAGTGAGTAAAGTCTCATCAATTCCACGTAAGAGCAGTCTGAGTCTCTGCGGGTTAGGTTAAGTGCGTTAGAAACCGCACACCATTTCATCGGCTTACTTTGAGATCTGAGAACTGCTGTTGGATTTTGGGGCGCTCCATACGATATTCTCTATTTCTTCTTTCTCCCTTTGCTCCCTAGGAAAGGAAACATGTACACATCAGAAACACTGCATGCCTGTTCTGAAGCAAAGCTGCTTATTACACATCTCAATTAAACCACCAAAAGAACAATTCCATACTCTCAGCAGTTAAATCAAATCATATGTACACATATATAGATATATGCGTGTGTATATATATTTTTTTTTGAGATGGAGTCTTGCTCTGTCGCCCAGGCTAGAGTGCAGTGGAGTAATCTTAGCTCACTGCAACCTCCGCCTCCTGGGTTTAAGCGATTCTCCTGCCTCAGCCTCCCAAGTAGCTGGGATTACAGGCACCCGCCAGCACTCCCGACTAATTTTTGTATTTTTAGTAGAGATGAGGTTTCACCATCCTGGCCAGGCTGGTCTCGAACTTCTGACCTTGTGATCCACTCGCCTCGGCCTCCCAAAGTGCTGGGATTACAGATGTGAGCCAACGCGCCCGGCCCAAATCAAATATATTTTAAGGTAATTATGAATACATTCTTAGCTGGGCATGGTAACACACACCTGTAATCACAGCTACTCAGGAGGCTGAGGCACAAGAATCATTTGAACCCAGGAGGCAGAGGGTGCAGTGAGCCGAGATCGCACCACTGCACTCCAGCCTGGGTGACAGAGAGATTCTGTCTCAAATAAATAAATAAATAAATAAAAATACATTCGCAAGTCTAATAATTCAATTATCCACAAAATAAAAACATGTAGAAATTCATTAAAACAAAAAATATCTTACTTTGATCTAAATAACTCCATTTGAACATGAGAACATGAGTATGAGTACTGCTTGAAAATTCACAAAATCTGCCGGGCGCGGTGGCTCAAGCCTGTAATCCCAGCACTTTGGGAGGCCGAGACGGGCGGATCACGAGGTCAGGAGTTCGAGACCATCCTGGCTAACACGGTGAAACCCTGTCTCTACTAAAAATACAAAAAACTAGCCGGGCGAGGTGGCGGGCGCCTGTAGTCCCGGCTACTCGGGAGGCTGAGGCAGGAGAATGGCGTAAAAACCCGGGAGGCAGAGCTTGCAGTGAGCTGAGATCCGGCCACTGCACTCCAGCCTGGGCAACACAGCGAGACTCCGTCTCAAAAAAAAAAAAAAAAAAAAAGAAAATTCACAAAATCCCAAAGGTAGGACCAACCTATAAACACCTAAGAAGTCCAGGCGCAGTGGCTCATGCGTGTAATCCCAACGCTCCGGGAGGCCGAGGCAGGCAGATCACCTGAGGTCAGGAGTTCAAGCCTGGCCAATGTGGTAAAACCCAGTCTATACTAAAAATATGAAAATTAGCCAGGTGTGGTGGCACGTGCCTGTAATCCCAGCTACTCAGGAGGCTGAGGTAGGAGAACTGCTTGAATCCAGAAGGCGGAAGTTGCAGTGAGCAAGATCATGCCATTATACCCCAGCCTGGGTGACAAGAGTGAAACTTCATCTCAAAAAAATAAAAATAGGCCGGGCGCGGTGGCTCAAGCCTGTAATCCCAGCACTTTGGGAGGCCGAGACGGGCGGATCACGAGGTCAGGAGATCGAGACCATCCTGGCTAACACGGTGAAACCCCGTCTCTACTAAAAAATACAAAAAACTAGCCGGGCGAGGTGGCGGGCGCCTGTAGTCCCAGCTACTCGGGAGGCTGAGGCAGGAGAATGGCGGGAACCCGGGAGGCGGAGCTTGCAGTGAGCTGAGATCCGGCCACTGCACTCCAGCCTGAGCGGCAGAGCGAGACTCCGTCTCAAAAAAAAATAAATAAAAAATAAAAAATAAAAAATAAAAAATAAAATAAAAATTAGCTGGGCATGGTGGGGCACCTGTAATCCCCAGCTACCTGGGAGGTTGAGGCAAGGAATCATTTGAATCCAGGAGGTGGAGGTTGCAGTGAGCCGATCTAGCCTGGGCAACAGAGTGAGACCCTGTCACGCAAAAAAAAAAAAAAAAAAAAACCACTAAAGGAAAAACAATAACTATCCTAGTTACTACCAAACACTCTACTGAACTCATCTCTCCTTTCCCTCCTTGCTTCCTTCTCTTCCAAGTAAACAGTTCACCTCTAACAACCAACTCAGCTCAGCTCCCCAGCTCTGTGTGCTAGAACAGTTTGCATCACCCATGTAACTGTACTTCAGCATTGAGACGTGTGAGGAGATGGTATTCACACTACTGTCCTTCCTGTTTGTATTACGACAGTTTTCAGAATAAAAGTTTTAATAAGTACACTACTTTTTTTTTTGAGATGGAGTCTCACTCTGTCACCATGCTGGAGTGTAATGGCACGATCTCGGCTCATTGCAACCTCCGCCTCCCAGGTTCAAGTGATTCTCGTGCCCCAGACTCCCGAGTAGCTGGACTACAGGCATGCACCACCACACCCGGCTAATTTTTGTATCGTTAGTAGAGATGTGGTTTCACCGTGTTGGCCAGGATGGTCTCAATCTCCAGACCTCATGATCTGCCCACCTCAGCCTCCCAAAGTGCTGGGATTACAGGTGTGAGCCACCGTGCCTAGCCAAGGACACTACTTTTTAAAAACGTATGGCCGGGTGCAGTGGCTCACGTCTGTAATCTCAGCACTTTGAGAGGCGGAGGTAGGTGGATCACAAGGTCAGGAGATCGAGACCACCCTGCCAACAAGGTGAAACCCCATCTCTACTAAAAATACAAAAAAATTAGCCAGGCGTGGTGGCGGGCGCCTGTGGTCCCAGCTCCTTGGGAGGCTGAGGCAGGAGAATGGCGTGAACCCAGGAGACAGAGCTTGCAGTGAACTGAGATCACGCCACTGTACTCCAGCCTGGGCGAGAGTGCAAGACTCTGTCTCAAAAAATAAATAAATACATAAATAAACATTAATTTAATGACTTTCTACATGGGTCCATGTCACCTGCTATTTTTTGTTTTGTTTTTGTTTAGAGACAGGGTCTTGCTCTTGCCCCGGCTGGAGTGCAGTGGTATAATCATAGCTCACTGTAGCCTCAAACTCCTAGGCTCAAGCAATCCTCCTGCCTCAGCCTTGGGAATGTAGTTGGAACTACAGACATGTGCCACTGACTAATTTTTATTTTCTTTTTGTAGAGACAGGGTTTCACTATATTGCCCAGGCTGGTCTCGAACTCCTAGACTCAAGTGATCCTCCCGCCTTGGCCTCCCAAGGTACTAGGATTACACATGTAAGCCACTGCACCCAGCCTGATGTTTTTTAAAATGCATTAACCCTGGAGGTTCCAATCAATCTTTAAAATGTAGGGCTGGCCAGGCACGGTGGCTCATGCCTGTAATTCCGGCACTTTGGGGAGGCCAAGGCAAGCAGATCACGAGGTAGGGAGATAGAGACCATCCTGGTAACAGGGTGAAACCCCATCTCTACTAAAATACGAAAAATTAGCCGGCATGGTGGCGGGCACCTGTAGTCCAGCTACTCCAGAGGCTGAGGCAGGAGAATGGCATGAACCCAGGAGGTGGAGCTTACAGTGAGCCAAGGTCACATGACTGCACTCCAGCCTGGGCAACAGAGCGAGACTCCGTCTCAAAAAAAAAAAAAAAGTAGGGCTGAGTGTAGTGACTCATGCCTGTAATCCTAGCACTTTGGGAGGCCAAAATTAGGGAGGCAGGTGGATCACTTGAAGCCAGGAGTTCAAAACCAGCCTGGGTAACATTGACAAAAATTAGCTGGGTGTGAGCCAAACCCGGTGGCTCACGCCTGTAATCCCAGCACTTTGGGAGGGCAAGGCAGGCAGATCACGAGGTCAGGAATTCGAGACCAGCCTGGCTAACACCGGTGAAACCTCGTCTCTACTAAAAATACCCGTCTCTACAAAAATTAGCCGGGCGTGGTGGTGTGCGCCTGTAATCCCAGCTACTTGGGATTCAAGATCCCTTGAACCCTGGAGGCAGAGGCTGCAGTGAGCCGAGATCATGCCATTGCACTCCAGCTGGGCAATAGAGTGAGACTCCATCCAAAATAGCTGGGTGTGGTAGCAGGTGCTTGCAATCCTAGCTACCTGTGAGGCTGGAAGCAGGAGAAAAGCTTGAGCCACGATTCAAGGGTTGCAGAGAGCTATAATCAAGCCACTGTTACTCCACCCTGGGTGACAGAGTAAGATCTGTATCCAAAAAAAAAAAAAATTAAAATGCAATGCCATTCACACTTAATACTCTAGGTACAAATTTATGCACAATGATTTATAATGAGCTTCTAAAAGATTTCCAGGCCAGGCACATTGGCTCATGTCTCTAATCCCAGTACTCTGGGAGGCCAATGATACGGTTTGCATCTGTGTCCCCATCAAATCTCATGCTCAATTACAATTCCCAGTGTTTGAGGTGGGGCCTGCCGGAGGTCACTGAGTCATGAGGGCAGATCCCTGGTGGCCTGGTGCTGTCCTCGAGACAGCAAGTTTACACCACGCAAGATCTGGTTGTTTAAAGTGTGTGGCAAGACTGGGCACGGTGGCTCACGCCTGTATTCCAACACTTTGGAGGCTGAGGCGGTCGGATCACTTGGGGTCAGGAGTTCCAGACCAGCCTGGCCACATGGTAAAACCCTGTCTCTACTAAAAACACAAAAATTAGCCAGGTGTGGTGGCATGTGCCTATAATCAAGCTACTCGGGAGGCTGAGGCAGGAGATCACTTGAGCCTGGAGGCTCAAAAAAATAAAAATAATAAAATTCCAGAAGAACTATATTTTACTATCTAAATTATCTTCAAAAAATAAACATTCCACATACATCCCAGGAAGTTATAATTACAAGTATAAAAGCAACAGAGCTGGGCACAGTGGCTCACATCTGTAATCTCAGCACTTTGGGAGGCTGAGTGGGGTGGAGCACAAGGCCAGGAGCTTGAGACATTCTGCCCAACATGGTGAAACCCCTGTCTCTACCTAAAATACAAAAACCTAGCCAGGTTATGGAGGTGGGCACCTGTATCCCAGTTACTTGGGAGGAGTTTCTCCTGAGGCAGGAGAACTGCTTGAACCCAGGAGGCAGAGGGTTCAGTAAGAC